GCGTGAATCTTGCGATTCATTCACGGACACAAAGGTCAACAAGTGCACAAGTACCACTCAACAATCATGTGTAAGTAAATCAATCCTAACGTAGCGGAATAAACACAGACTGATTTCATGCCAAGATCACTTTTTAATCTATGAATAATATAAATAGATCAGAATTGTGTACCTTTAACAGCTAATCCAGCTACGATCAATGTATGGTGAAGTTTGATTACAAAGTTGTTCAAGTGTCCAGCCTCTAATGGTATCCACACGAACAATTCTTGAGACACAGACACAAGACATGACGGCTAGTTCTCTGAATTATAAACCAGGGTTTATGAACCGACAAATTAAAAACAAAACTTGTGTCTGTGACTTATTTATATAAGTCTATGGGTTTGGATGATTACCATAAATTCCATGACTTATTTATTAATAAGTCTCTATGATTAATTTATCACGTACATTAATCCTTTAATTATCCCAAGTAATTATCCTATTGTGTGTGACCGTTTAGGTTCCTAAAACACATTGGGAATAAATATAAATTCCAAGCCAAGTATTAATTGAATTTTGGACATAAAACATACATCATGTACTGAGAGGGAAGACAAGATTACAATATATAGTGTGAGAGGAGGTACTCACCTTTTTAAGCTTATGGAGTCAATGATGTTTTCATTAGAATATGGTAATCAAACATGCATTTATACCGTAACTACCTCATCATAACAAAAGAAATGACAAATAGTACTACTCTTTACTGCCTTGTTGTTGTTAGAAATACAAATCTAAATCATCAAGTAAAATACAAACACATAAAACTGTGATACGTTAAATAAGTAAAAGACTGAGTTTAAGAAATAGAGGTTGGATTGAGGCACGCCAAAGGCGCTGTCCTAAGGAGAGATACGCCCCATCTACAAAGAATTTGGTGGCATTCTTTTTCAAAGATACAACAATCTTCATAGGAGTTCTGGTGGTTGCAGAGCTCTCTATATTGTGAACGATCATGAAATATATTTGTTTATTGTAAAATGGATTGAAAGACAAGAATCATTTACATAAAGTAAAAGGTGATTAGGAGAACAAAGAGCATATATATACTTTGTATATGAAAACCGTGTGGACTTAAGCTCTTAAAATGGGAGTGGAAAATGGTTGTTTTTTCAAGTATACATGCATTCCTATTTATTGTAAAATAGTACAAACAAATATGATTAGTAATGTTAGTAACATAACCCCCACAATTTATCACCACATTTAATTGTTTTTACTAAGATTTTAAATATTAACTACTAACCAGTAAAAGCACAATAAAAGTGAGTAGTTACCCAAACCATTTTCAAAGGAGTAGAGTTGCACAATAACTTTTTTTTTCAAATTGATGGCCCAAGTGAGAATCGAACCCCCCGACTTCCCGATAATAACCATTCCCCTCTTAATCCCCTAACCACCCCACCCAACCCTCCCACCCCACACAATAACTTATTTCAAACCGTAAGTTACAAAAACTTACATCCATATTTTTAATATTGAATTAATTTTTTAACAATCCACAGTTCAATATTAGAAAACAAAAAAAATAAAAAGTTTTAAAATAAGTTTAAAAAAAGATGTTGGGCATAAATATCATGCAATAGGTGATAGATGTCTTCGGACTTGAACCTTCACTTAGTGACTATTAGGTCTATCTGAAGAATCATAGTAACACAAGGTTTTGAACTAGACTCTTTGAGCCAGACTTACCTTAATAATACACATGATATGGATACTAGACCGGTTCTAACGGTTTTGCGCTCTTAACGCCCATGCGTTCTATCTTATATTCATGAATTGCTATCTAGGGATTAGCCCAAATCCCAGAGTAGCGGCCTTACTACTAACAATCATATAGGTGAGTCCTCCAAGGGTATTTGTGATCTACACCCTACAGATTTCTGTCTCAGACTCATTCAGAGATATACTCTTCCTTTTTCCATCACAAATATCAACACTCATCTTAGGAATGAGAAAGGGATATTTTCCTTTATATATGTGTGTTGATAATAGCCATCCATATAGTTTCGTTTGTACATATTAAACCTCCTTCATGGGATCTCTAATTACAGAGGTTAGGGCCCACTATGATGATTTTTTCATAGGTTTTAAATCTCATTCCCCTCGATGATTAATTTAGTAAACCAATCTTTTGTAAAATTTTGGCTAAGTTATTTTATGTCCCACAATCAAGACTTGTCTTGACTTATCAAATATTTATAGCATGCTTTTGGTACCAGAGATATATCTCATTTTTCTAACTGTTATCTAAAATCCATCCCGACGTTGAAGAAAATTGATTTCCTCAAATATATTAAATATGGGGCTAATATTGGACCGGGATATGTTTTTATACTTTTACATATTCCTTTCACTTGTAAATGTACCATTTTAGCAACTTTGATTCCACCCGAATATGATATCCAGTTTTTATTATACTCTTTGGGTCACATTTAGATATATAGGAACCGCTAACTGTGTCATAGTTTCATTTCATTATTTGACAACTACCACAATTTAGTAGTCAGTAGTCTTACTATTAGAAAAAATCACCATGAAAATAACCAGTAGTCTACTATTAGGAACTACTAAGTAGCCAATAGCCTCACTACTAGGAATCATAACATGATGATAAATAATCTACTACTAGGAGCTACTAATTTCAGGAGCCGTTTGTTTGCTGGGATTCGGAATCAGGATTCGGATTCGGAATTCATTTTCTTGTTTGGTTAACAGAATTTGGATTCAATCTTTTGGATTCGGATTGGAATTTTCATTCCCACCTCCCCCCTCCTGATTCAATTGTTAAATCCATGGATTCAGTTTCTCGAAAAAATAAAAATAAAAAAATCACTCCTTTCTCCTCCTTCTATCCTCCCTTGTTCCTCCGCTGCATCACCATCTCCCACCGCCACATCACCTCTCACTGCCAACATTAACCCCAAAAAATCAACCATTACCTCCATGAAATAGAGATATACCCCCACTGTCAACATCAAACTTCTTTCAATGAACAAAATAACTAAAAAACTGATTTCTCTCTCAAAATTACAAAAAAAAAAATAATAAAACCCAAACAAGGATTCATTCCGATGAAATCTAACAACGATTATTGGTACTTACGAATGAATCTGTTATTGTTATTGTTTGATGTATCAACTTCAATGTTAATCTGTTACAAGTTCAGGTTAGGATTCTTCTTCCTTTATTGAATTCTGATCCCCAGTTTGGGTTTAGTTTCTAGAAAAGAAAAAAAAAAAGGTTTCAGTTACGGTGGCTGTTAGTGGAGAAGCTGGGTGGATAATTGGATTGATGGGGCTGATTTGGTTGGAGGAAGGAACATGAGGAGAGAGTAAAAGTTAGAAAAATCCCATTTTGGTGAGAAGGAGAGGAAAAAATGGAGAGTGGTGGTGGTGATTTTTTATGGGGGATCTGGTTGGCGGCGTTTGGGTGGAAAGGAGAGAAACAGAGGCGAAGTTTGATGGTGGTGGTGGTTGGAGAAAATGGTAGCCGGCGTTTGTGTGGGAAAGGAGAAAAGTAGACCTGTAGGAGAAGAGGAAGAAGGGGAAAATTTTCTTTTTCTTTTTAATATTATAATAATAGCAATCCATATCTTCAACCAAACGTATTATTTGGATTCAACTAATCCACGATTATTCGAATCCAATCCCTCATCATTTGATCTGTTTCCGAATCCGTTTCTAGATGACAAAACAAACGGATCCTCAATTGTATTTATGTTGTTCGTTGCTGGCCAGTAGTCTTTTTCCCTACTAGGAGCCATTTATGTTAAAAATGATCACAAACATTTTCTATTTTGTAGGAACTATATATTTGGGTCATTCTCAAATGATGCTATTGATGCAAAAATCGACATCCCAAAGAATTTACGTACGTAACAATGATAAGGTTTTCGAAATTAATTTATTTTTATGCCAAGGAACTCGACTTTTAGAAATCAAATCATCTCTAAAGCCTTGAATTTACCATTTATACTCTTAGAAATTAAATCATCTCTAAAGTCTTGAATTTACCATTTATAGAATATACTGCAAAATTTCACTGTAAGTTTTTTTTCTTTCCCTTCCAAAATAAATAACCCTAAGGGTTTAAGCACGGACCATATGAACATATCGTACTATAATTCAGCCTTCAATAAATTACCTTGTGGGGCTTTAGTTATCATATCAGAAATTTTAATCTCATACGTTCTATGATAGAATCATATCTAAATGCATTTTATATCATTTTTTATTTTTACTTTCACTACTATTAATAAGGTCAAATAAAATGCAATTGATGCAGTGTAATTGTAAATGCATATATAATCCATACTATTAACTACTTAATTATGATACTCTTACCAATTAAACGTCCACAACATAAATATAATTTTTATGTCCACTTTTAGTGCTATTCTTACACAAACCGGGCATGTGTTAGCTTCAAACTTTCCAAATAATATTCTTGTCATTTTAAATTGCCACATATATTCTGAAGACATTCTCATGAGTCATGATGGACTATTTTTATTTCAAACAGAACAAGACAAAATTCTACATGAATAAAAGTCGATATGACATTAATACTTTTTTTTTAAAAAAAATAATGGTTAACCACATAAATTTATTTCAATTCCCTCATTTAAATTCTATCACAAATTGAAAGTTCTTAGAAAAATATAAAATACTCTAAATATATATATATGGGAAGTAAAACTCACACAACAACCATGACACAACTAGTATTAGTGCATGTATATACACGCATACCTTTTTCCCGAGACCATTACCATTTTGGTGACCGAATTAAATTCGCTTTCAATTAAATTATTAATTTCTCAAACAAAAACCGTTACCAAAAACTACTTGAAAGTTTTTACGAAAATTCATAATTGTTGCGAAAGTTTTCTCTCTCCCTCCCTTCCTCAGCCGAAACCCTAGCTCGGCGGACTCCCATCAATAACAGCCATTATGGCCGGAATTTCTCCACCGGTGGCTCCTCCACCGCGGACATTGGCTAGTTTCTTCCAAAAACCTCCCGAGGTTGAGGTGAATGTAGATTCCCTCATCAAGCAAGTGAAGTTTGTGAATGGAACTCCAACTTTGGAGTATGAAGACGAAGAATTTGAAAGATTGGTCGTGCCACATAGGCTGTGCTTAGTGGGGAAATTCTCCTATGGTCGCCCTAAAATGGAAGAGATCCACAATGAATTTAAGAAAATTGGTTTTCAAGGTGGGTATACCTTGGGTCTCATGAACCCTAGGCATGTATTGATTCGATTCGATCAAGAGGAAGATTACCAAAGATGTTGGATTAGAACATTTTGGAATATTGGTGGATATTCCATGAGGATATTGAAGTGGAAACCAGGCTTTAAATTTGAAAAAGACCCCCCGGTTGTACCTATTCGGGTTTCCCTCTATGATTTGCCTATTGAATTCATGCATCCGGAAGTCATATTCTCAATGGCAACGGCGCTTGGCAAGCCCTTGAAGGTTGATGCGCCTACTTTGAATATGACAAGGTCATCGGTTGCGAGATTTTGTGTTGAGATCGACTCACTAATGAGCTTCCAAAATCAATGAAGATATGGGAAAAAGGGCGAAAACATGAACAAGTTTTCACTTTTGAACATGTTCCATCCGGTTGCTTGAAGTCCTGCAAGATAGGCCATAAGGAGGAGGATTGTCGGGAAGGAAAACCTCCACCGGAAAAGCAAGAAGAAGGGATGAAAATGGTTGAGCCAGCCCCAAAGAAAAAAGGTCTTAAATTGGCCGCCGCAAAGCCTAAGTGGCTGTTTAAGGTGATGGTGAAAAGTCGGCAGGCCAAAGTTTGAAGGTGCAAATATTGTATAGCAATCCTCTGATTGTCAAGGCAATTGAGAGTCAACCAATTGCTCTGAAAAGGCCGACGTTGATAGAGCCTGAAGTTGAGTCGCAGGTAGCAGCAAATGGAACCCTAGATGAGTCGCACCCCCCTGCGGATAGCATTAATGCGGAAGGAACCGTAGCTACGTCGCACCCCCCCTGCGCAAATTCCATTTGCTGAAATTGAGTTGCGATGTCATGAGTCGACGTCCGATTTATCAGTGGCAGAGAAGAGTTCCATTCCAGTGGATATCCTAGCAGCAGCGACTCCGGCATCCACATCAAACCGATTTGCGGTTTTGGAAATGATTGAAGAAGAAGACGAACTTGTAGTGGTTAATGAAGACGAACATGTTCAAAATGTTTTCATTAAGGACTTGCCCCCTCCACAACCCAGTATACAGCAACAATCAATCTTGCCAGAGATAGGCAGTGGGGTTTACTCGCCGATTGATCAATCTCAGGACGATGGAGATGTTGGTAGGACCTCGGTTGCTACTGAATTAGAAGCTGGTGCGCGGGGTAGCTCGTTAGATGGGGATATTGATGATGCTCTGGTACTTGATTTGGTGCAAGGGGAAGAATTGGTACCCAAAAAGCGTGGTTAGAAATCCGAAGTCGAAAGGGCGTTGTTGCAAGATGGGGTTATCCCACGGCGCTCGTCGCGTCTCCAAGAATAAGTCTCGGTTACCCTCTCTTTCAATAATTTCCATGATTAGTCAACTAATATGGAACATTGGAGGTGTTAAAAATCAAGCGTCACTAAGACGCTTAAAGCTTTTAAATATGATGAATAAGGTTTCGGTTCTATTCATTCTAGAGCCTATGCTTCCTAGCTATCATATTGATAGTGTTCAGAGGGATTTGGGTTTTGAAATGGTTTTCTCTTTGGCAACAAGTAAAATCTAGGTATTTTGTAGAAATGGCTTGTCATTACGATCGTTGGAAATTTGATCAAGTTCTCAACTTTGAGGCTATGCATGGTGCGGTTCCACGGAAGTTGTTACTCTCTGCGGTATATGCAAAATCCACTAGGAATGAAAGAAGGCTTCTATGGCAGAATATGATGGACTTTAGATTGATGTATTTAGCTGCTCCTTGGATGATTTGAAGGTGACTTTAATGTTATACATACTTAGGATGAGTATTCTGGGAACTCGGTTCAAGACCAGGTGGCTATGACTGAATTTAACGAATTCATTCTTGAATGTGATCTTTTGGAATTGCCGGTTGTAGGAGAGGTATTTACATGGGGTGGAACACGACATACAGGCTTGGTGAGCAAGAGGCTTGATAGAGATTTAATCTCGCAAGAATTGAGTGATTTGTTTCCTAGTTTTTCTTTGGAGAATATAAGCAAAACAACTTCGGATCATTGCCCTTTGCTTCATAAGTTTGATGTCAATATTGAAAGCAAGTCAAAGATCTTTCGCTTTCGAAAAATGTGGCTGAAAAGATCTGATTTTAAGGAGGTAGTGAAGGAGAATTGGGAGCAGCCATTGGGGGTTTCGGGTATGCTTGGGTTTGCTTTAAAACTTAAGCGTTTGAAGGAGAAGTTGAAAGTTTGGAATAAGGAGACCTTTGGGGACATTTTCGCCAACTTGAGAGATGCTGAAAATAAAGTTCAAGAGTTGGAAAATACTTTTGATACCTCTGGCCAAGCACAAGATAGAGTGAGCTTGCATGTTGCCAAAGCGGAGTTGCTGCTTCAATTAAAGGAACATGATGATTTTTGGTCACAAAAGATAAATTTGAAATGGATGAAAGAAGGGGATTCCAATACCTCTTTTTTTCATTCCTCATTGAAGGAGAGGAGATTAAAGCAAGGCTTATTCAAAATTCAAACGCCGGATGGGTTAATGTTAGAGAATATGGCGGACATTGAACAAGAAGCGGTGAGATTTTTAAGGATCTTTTGAATGATGAAGAGGACTCTCTCCTTTGTGAGATCAAGCAAGTTGGCTTCCTTGGGAATATTCTTCATTTGCTGGATGCTAATGATGGGGAGGCTTTGCTCAGACCGATTGTCATGGAGGAAATAAAGGGGGCTGTTTTGGATTGAATGAAGATAGGGCGCCGGGTGTTGATGGTTTTGGAGGCTACTTTTATAGGAGTTGCTGGGACATTATCTCCAATGATCTATGGATTGCATGCCAATAATTCATGTTGGGGGTTTCCATTCCAAGATCTATTTCTAGTACGCTAATCACTCTTATTCCTAAGAAGATCAGTGTTACAAGATTTTCGGATTACAGACCCATAAGTTTGTGTACCTATCTAAATAAAATTCTGACCAAGGTTCTTACTGAAAGATTAAAGTTGTCTTGCCTAAAATCATTTCAGAAGAACAGTCTGCTTTTTTGGAGGGGAGAGATATCATGGACAATGTGCTTTTGGCTCAGGACCTTTGTCAATTCTTGGGAAGAAAGGCACAAGGGAGGAGGGGGGATTTTGTTTTGAAGCTTGATATGATGAAAGCCTTTGACCACATCAAATGGAGTTTTTTGGAGAAGGCTTTATCCAAGTTTGGTTTCCCGCAGCACTTTGTATCATTGATTATGGGCAATCTTCGAAGAAGTTGGTTTTCGGTCCTTATCAATGGAGCGCCGGTGGGTTATTTCCAATCTTCAAGGGGCATTAAACAAGGGGATCCATTGTCTCCTTACCTCTTCATCATTGTTTCTGAAGCTATGACAAGGAGTTTGAAATCTCTTATGGCGAATGGGAAGGTAGCGCATTATGGAACGCCTTGTGGTTCAATGCCAGTTTCACATCTTGCTTTTGCTGACGATCTAATTATCTTCTCTAGGGGGCTGAATCGCTCATTGGAAGTGCTAAATGGCTTCTTTATTGATTATGAGAATGCATCGGGTCAGAAAATTAGTCGGCCAAAGAGTACATTTATGGTTTCAGAGAATTGTTGTGCAAGGAAAGTCGCCCAAATTCAGCAAATCTTAGGGATTCAAAAAGGAGCTTTTCCTTTTACTTATCTTGGATGCAAGCTCTATCAAGGTAGGGGGAAATCCTCCACTTTTCAGTTCCTCTTGGATGGCATTGATAAGCGTCTTTTGAGTTGGAAGAACAAGCTATTGAGTCAAGGTGGACATTTGATTCTTATTAAGCATGTGCTATCTTCCATTCTGGTGCATATTTTCTCGGCTATTCCTCCCCCAAAATCTGTCATCAAAAATATAGAAAAACGGTGTCAGAAGTTCTTTTGGGCCGATACAAGTGAAGAAAAGAGGAGACATTGGCGGTCATGGGAGCAACTTACTTTTCCAGTCCAAGAGAATGGTTTGGGTATCTGTGATTTTCAGGGTTTCATTGATGCTCTAACGGTTAATTTATGGTGGAAATTGAAGCAAAGGAGAGGAGTTTGGAGCAAGTTTATTCATTCTTTGTCCTTGGCAGCAAAGAAAAAAGCTTCTTGGAGTCGTGTTTCAAAAGTTGGAGCTCGGGTTGCGCAGCATACAAAGGTTGTCATCCGGCGAGGGAATAGGTCTTTTTGGTTTGAAAATTGTTCCCCTTTTGGTGTCCTTTGGGGGGGAAGAAAATACTCAGCCGCCTTATCCAAGCCTGAGTATACGGGATTTTTTTCCAGAATAGACAATCTTTGATCCCTGAAATACAAGGTTCTCTCGGCAGCAACATAAATGACTTCCTTGCGACGCACATCCGAGACTGTTTGGATGATAATGGGAATAATGATGATTTGCTGGTGTGGAAGCATAATTCTATTGGAGATCTTACGGTGAAATCGGCTTATGATGTGATCCGGCCAAGGAGGCAATCGGAAGGATGGGCGCGTAATGTTTGGAATCCTTTTACTCCTTTGCGAGTTTCAATTTTCTTATGGAAGTTGCGCAACAGATTAGTGCCATTTCCGGAGGTGCTAGACCGAACGGGCATTAATGTGTATCCAACAATTTGTCTTGTTTGTAGGAATGGTGGGGATGGTCTTTTCCACTGCTTCTATGGGTGCTGTTTTGCATTGCAGGTGTGGCGCCATTTTTCAGCAATTGTTGGAGTTAATATACTTAGGGTTTCTTTGCTGGCAGCCATGCTTAATAGATGGTGGAATGGAGTGGATTTTAAAATAGCTTATGGAGAAATGAGGAATCTTATACCATCCCTTATTATTTGGCAAATCTGGAAGTGTCAAAATAAGGTGACTTTTGAGGGTACTGCCCCCGATTTGGCCAAGGTAATCCGAACCATTGTGGATCAGGTGCGTTCCTTGATGATGATTCATGATCTTAAGATCATAAATGAGTCTGAAAAATCATTTTTTCTATCCACTTTTAATGTTCATCTATACCGAATGCTTCGGCCTAGGTTAGTGGAAGTGAAGTGGATTCCTCCCCTAGTAAAATCTTTTATCCTTAACACTGATGGTTCTTAAAGTTGAAATAAGGCAGGTTATGGGTTTGTAATCAAAGGTGCATGGGGCTCTTTTATTTATGGGGAAAATGGCTATCTTGGTGATGGCGATAGTTTCATGGCAGAGGTGTACAGGATACTATTCGGTCTCCGCAAGTGTGAGCAGCCTGGTTTATCAAATATTGTTGTTCAGACGGATAATAAATCATTGGCGGATTCTTTGGAGAGGGGCTCTATTTTTCCATGGAAATATTTGTTGCAGCTGCAAGAGATATATGCATATTTGCAAAGGAACGCTTTTACTATCTCTCATATATACAGGGAAGGTAATGCAGTCGTGGATATGATAGCGAAAAAGGCATCTTCCGGCTCTTCTGGTGTTTAGTCTTCTTTAGATGCTTTGCCGAAATATGTAAAAGGATTATTGATCTTTGATCAATCATCCTTCCCATACTTTCGATCCCGAATCTTGTGATGTAACTGCAGCTTTTGATTTAACTATTAATAAATAAATGGGAGGGAAGGAGCTAGGGAACTAGATGGTATTCATGTCCATCCCTTTGGTAGACCCCTTGGGTGCGTGGTATCATCTAGCACTGGTTGATGCAGGGAATAACTCTTAGGTAGACCCCTTGTAGTATTTTCTGTGTTAACTGGGACCTGAATGCCTTTTCATCCTTTCCTTCTTTTGCTTAAAAAAAAAGTATAATAACAATCATTTATTATTTAAAATCAAGAATGACAATTTAAAAATGCTAGAAGAAGATGACACTATATGCTGGGAATATTAGTAAAAATTCCACGTTAAGGCCCTTTCTTCACGTTTCATGATTAAAAATAATCATAAAAAACACAGACAAGAAACCATCACTACATCCACTTTAACATGATGCGAAATTACTTTCATGCCACGTTTAAATTTTATCGTTGTGATAAAACTATGAAAATACAACAAGTAATTTTAGTTTGACAAAACCATCATTCTTAAAAATAGAACTTTCGTACTCATCTTAATCTTCTCAGACTTAATGTGGAGATTGAAGTAGGTGAATACTCCAACCCAGCAGCACTAAAGGGCATATTGTCGAAATGAAGCAAATCCAAAGCGTGCTCACTTTTGTCTTTTGGATAAAATAATAGTATATCTAATCTTAGATTTTAGAAATACAAATCTAAATCATAAAATAAATATAAACACATAAAACTGTGATACGTTAAATAAGTAAAAGTCCGAGTTTAAGAAATGAAGGTTGGATTGAGGCACGCCAAAGGCGCCGTCCTAAGAAGAGATATGCCCGCTCCACACAGAGTTTGGTGACGTTCTTTTCCGAAGATACAACAATCTTCATAGGAGTTCTGGTGGTGGATGAACTCTCCATATTGTCAACGATCATGATCCAACTTGCCCAACAAAGAGATGAAATATATTTGTTTATTATAAAATGAATTGAAAGGCAAGAATCATTTATATAAAGGAGAAGGTGATTAGGAGAATAGAGAGTATAAATATACTTTGGATATGAAAACCTTGTGGACTTAAGCTTTCAAACTGAGATTGGAAAATGATTGTTTTCTCAAGTATACATGCGTTCCTATTTATAGTAAAATAGTACAAACAAATATGATTAGTAATGTTAGCAACGTAACTCCCACAATTCACCCACATTTAAGTACTTTTACTAAGATTTTAAATATTGACTACTAACCAGAAAAGCACAATAAAAGTGAGTAGTTACCCAAACCATTTTCAAAGGAGTAAAGATGCACAATAACTTCTTTTAAAACCATAAGTTACAAAAACTTACATCCATATTTTTAATATTGAATTAATTTTTAACAGTTATAACCCTTTCTAGATTTTGTTAACTTATTACTAGTTCTTCCTAAATAATGAGAATGATCCCTTGTCATGCTATTGGTTAGTAACTTTAGAATATTTAGAATGTAGAACAATAACCTCCAAGCACATGTATTTCAGAAACCAAATTCCCAAACCAGTTTCTCTTTATGAGTTTTGGAAACTAAAAAATTTAGTGATGAAGTGTCATATTCAAAGTACGTTTTTATCAAACGAAATATCCGATTTGAGAGCCGTCAATAACAATGTATACTAGGCTCACAAGATGGCTCTCAAGATGATGTTGTTTTGGATTTCGGTGCAGATCAATTCTCTTCATCTATATGAAATGTTCATGGGCCCACTGCGGTGAGTTTTTTCTTTGTTGATCTTGTATATCAAATGTTCATTGTGTAACAGTTTAGTGACTAAAAACTATGGAATATAAGTGGCATTGAAAGGGTTCATCGCTTTTTAGCGAGAGCATAGAGAGTAATTGTTGGTTTGCCATTGTCTAATGGTAATTTTAAAGAAGGAACACTAGCAATTGATGAAGAACCTTCTGCAGAACAACTTCGTGCTCTTCATAAATGCATAGATAAGGTAATCCAATAAAGTTTCTATCCACATCTTCAAGTTCTCTGTGTTGTTCATGTATCATTCTGTGTTACATTTCCTGGCCTATTTGTCTTTACTAGGTTCCATGTGACATGTAACATTGGAATCAATAATGGTATATCTGTGATGATGGTGTTCATCAATGTTGCATATAAGGTATTTGTCTTTGCGGTATTCACCATTTGAATATCTTCTACACATCTCCTTCCAACCCTAGATCTTTGTTTGCTGATCAAAATGACCTTATTTAAGACTTGTGGCTGATTTTCCATCAATACTCCATCTTCCTTGCAAGGAGTTAATGCATATGTTTACAGTGGAAGATACTTCCGTGGTTGACTGCGGAGGCATTTGTTTTGTTGCTTTTGCCATCTGCACCACGCTCCGCAGAAGAGCTCTTGGTCTTGCCTGGGTCACTCGAATTCGCTTGGTTATGAACCTTTTCCCAAGGTATATTCCGCTGCTAGGATCCCCATCTTAAGCTTTTGCAGTTTCTTGCTACTTCTATCCCAGGTGGTTTCTTGTAGATGCTTATTAACTATCGACCTTTTGTTTACTGAACATATTTATTTGATCAAACTATGAATCATGTTTAATCGTCATGGAAAAAAAGAGGCCATCCTTAATTTTATGTACATACCAATTGACACATTCTTGAATCCACATTATCTTAGATTTGTAAAAATTTATCTATTTCCCGGTCTTTTAAGAGGGTATAAAATCTACTAAAAATTAACACACACAAGAGGCTATCCCAACCTCAATAACTTGTTTTAACTATTCCCTCAGTCCTCCAAAATTAGTCCACTTTGAAATTTGTAATGGAAAAACAGTACAAAACTCAAAATTCTATGTGAGTTATTTTTCTTGGATAGTGAGAGTACTATATTTCGCTACCAAAGGAGGTGTTAACTATGCTTTGGTGGAAATTGGAAACAATTTCAGATCACATCTTGACCAGCAAATAGAAGATTATGGAAAACAGAAGGTTCAAATTACCTCCACTATAAACATGCATTGCAAGGATCTTATCCACCAAAAAAGTGAAGATTCTGATTCCGCATAAGCAAAAATAATAATAATAATAATAGTCATTGCCTTCGCTTTTCATCTATTTGTTCTTCAAAAAATAGAACAAAATCCTCCCTGTTTCAACCCTAAGTTACAAACTAAATAAACTAATTTAACTTTAAAATGCGCAAAAGATTGCCCAGAAATGCAACGTCATAACAGGGGAGAGCATTTAACATTTCCTAAATGGTAAAAGAAGACCATGGTATGCCACAAAACTCTCTGTACATGTGATGCTCGACATGGGATTCACTCAGCTAAGTGGTTACAACCTCCAGGTAGAAGAAATTTAAACTTTTCGGCATTTTCCACCAAGGAAGAAGGAAGATGAACCACCGATGCTGAAGCAGGAATTGGTCTCATCTTCTTGATCAGTTCCTTAAACGAGTACTCCTCAGGTAACATGTCAAAAAGATCATCTCCCCTACGGATTATCTTTTGGATCCTAGAGTATTTTAGGAAATCATTACACTTAACACGGTCAGCATGACTGTAGGCAGTCATTTTGAAAACAAACTCTTGCATAGCTGAATTAGTGAGAATCAAATGAGTTTGGCGTGAATGTCGATACTGAGTCCAGAGGCTGTAAATTTGGACTATTGTACGCCAACTACTATAGTCAATTGCAAACTCAAAAGAATACTAGTGCTTTAACTCAATATGTAAGAAAGGAGGCACTTGATCACACCATTATAGCAGTTTTACTGCGTGAGGACTTGGGATTTTATCTGTGTTTGACATAATGAGAACATCACCAGCAGAAATCCCTGTCCATCACAGCAATCCATTCATAGCCACGTGTTGATCGGATTCAAGTTTAAAAGGGTCTTCATGTACCCGTACGTCAAAACACGAACAGGAAATACACTGTGAACATCTTTTCCTCAGCAAATTCAAACCGGCGGTGACCTGTGGCAAAATATGGGGGTTTTGGGATGCCAGTGAAGGTGGTGTGGGCCTCCAAGATTACAAATTTAGTAACATAAGGAAGAAATTCATGCCCCCTGATTTCAAGAATGTCGAGCTCATTGCTGAATATTATGGCATCAAACACTCGGCGTGGTTCTGAACGCAATGACCATCCATGAAGCATACACAGTTGGCCCATAGAAAGATTCTCTGCATGAACGATCCCAACGAGGGTGACGAAAGTAGGAGACCTTTTGTCCATAGTTGACAATCCCAATAAAGCTAATCGACACAACTATCAAGAGTACAATAAATACCAATTGCAATCGAGTACATCTAAAGCTAAGGTGAAGGGATTTTGGGGCCATTCTGGAATACACCATATGCATTGAAAGAGCCTAACATGGCTTCATAGTTGCACTTCTGGTTATATAAATGAAGGTTGAAAAACATTAATGAAAAATATAACGGGATTATTTGCTCCTTTAGAGGGAAAAGAATTTCACAATAGTCATTTTATAGATGAAGATGAGCTTCAATCCTTTACAACAACATAAAATATTAAAGAAATATTGCATATATTGAGTGGTCAAATAACCCAGGATATTTGAAAACCTTTAGATAAATAAAGGAGAAAACCTTTAGATAAATAAAGGAGAAAAAAGAAGAATTTTGCTGATTATTTATTTTGAATGACAGTTTAGTATCTAATATTAACAAAAATACAATAATTTGTTATTCACAAAGAATTTTAAACGCTAAACCAAAATCCAATAGATTGGTGTTGAATTCGAATTTACAAATTAGAACAACATTGGTTGGCGCTTGGTCCATACGTTGTTGGCTACCTCCCTTCTCTTCCTTGATTATTAATCAAGGAAAGTAGGAAACTTTGTCAAATTACAGGAAAAACACAATCAAACTTTTTGATATGTTTATTTTTCCCACTGTAATTTTCATCCCCAAATTTTACTGGGCTAAGGTTTCTTTTAACCTCCTTGGTGCTGTTACACTACGGAATCGCAACCCAAAAAACCGATTTAGCATTAGCAGTTCTCAGGCATCATCATCTCATTTCTTCACACCAAGGGAATAATATTCGGCCAAAAAATAACCTTAAAGAATGACTAACTTCTTTTTTTTTTTTGTAAATAAAGAATGACTAAACTTGTTATGGTTAAGAATGATTAAAAAAGACTAAATTTGCCTCATGTAACTCTAAAGTATCAATGCCTGTTTTACGCAACTCTATGTGCAAGGAGGGGGCGACCTTAAAAACCTAATGTTTAAAATAATCAGCACAACCAGAATGGTTCATGACAAAATGAAGGCCAAAAACAGAAACTCAGCCCGAGGCATTGGAAAACTGAAAACCCTATCTTTTATCGGATGCCCAAATTATAATCATCAAATTTCAGCTCGTCCTCTTTTTACTTCATCTAACGTTAAAGACAAAATGAAAAATGTTGAAATATGGGACTAAGTCATCTTTTTATACAGCAATAATAAGATAATTCTACTCGAACTTGTGAAGATTAGGATGAAAATTGTTAGTATTATAAATCAAATCATACGCATTCGGACATGGATAGTTCAAACGAATGGAAGCAATGCCTTTAGTTCCGAAAACGTTAATGCTTTAATGATTAATATAAGAGTTTCTACTCAATCATGTGCAGAATCCTCTACCACTAAATTCAGTAAAAGCAAAAGTAATTTTCAAACCTTAAAACCTTATTAGGCATAATATGCAAACACATGGCATGCAATACAAAAACTACTCTGCCTAACAAATAGAGGAAATTTCATTCTTTCTTGAGCTTCCCTGTTCAGTCATCTAAAAAGAAACGAATAAAAACATCGAATAATCATGATTCTCCATTTTACCTTCTCCCTCTGTTTTCGGAATTCGAATTCAAATACTTATTCTTTAGGGTTTAAAATTGGGTTTTTGCTTTCCAGTTTCTGTAACAAGCTACATAAGTAGAAGGATTTTGTGACGGCACCAAACTTTTGACGTGGTTAACTTTATATGTAGTTTAATTTTTTACCTTTTTACGGAGTTATTAAGCTAAACCATATTCAGATTTAGATTAAAAGTTAATCCACTTATAATTTGTTAATCAAAATATGAGCCTTTGATAAATCTAGCCTCAATTATCAACTTAGAGAACACTCCAAACGTGCCTCTTCACGTAAACAAGCATTTTCAGACCCAACGCCCATTTACTAAAGTTTCTAGTTAACCATGGTTAATTTTATTTTAAAATTATTTCCCTAAACCGACTTAAGCTAGAGAGGAGACAATTTGCTCTTACTAAATTTTTTTTTCTGCACTTTGGTAACCCTCCTTTTAAACCCTGCCCAAGGCATTTCCAGAATAAAATTATTTTACCGAGAAGGGAGGGTCCGGAGGCAGGAAAGGGGAGAGCTCGAGAGTTGAAGAAGGGGTTAAGGTAATTAAGGCCTAACCTTCAATACTTATATTTTGATTTTCTAAATCATCCTCTTTGATATTAGTTGCTGAATTTGGGAATTCTTGGGAGTTTGGAATATTTGAATTTGGTTACAAGTGAAGTGATTTGGGTATCTACAGTTGGGGTCGGTTCCGGGCTAGATGACTAGCTCGCCTTTTGTTAATTTTGTTATTCCAATTGGTAATTTATCTGATTGATCCAAGTTTCGTCATCTCCTAATGATTTTAGTGAAATTGAGTTTGAAATTTGAGGCCTATGGCCGAGAGGTTGGAAACATAAGAAGAGAATCGTTACTAATGATTATTGTGCATGTTTAGAGTAATAAGCTCATTGACTATTGATGTTGTTGCAACTCTCATTAATTTGATTTCTGGAATTGGATTAGAGAGTAGAAGTGTTGATGATGATGATGCCTCTGTTTCATTTTTATTTTTAATTATGTGCATGAATGGGAGAATGGAGAGAAATATGTCATGTGGTTAAACTTTTAATTCATGGATTCCATGCTGTGTTTGGGTCACTGGAAATTGTTCATAGAATAATATAAAATGAATATTGGATTATCTAAGAGTCATGGTTGATTTGGAAATGATTGTATGACATTGGAAACAAGACAAAGCTTGCTTGATGGTTTCTCAAAAGTGCAGGAAAAATCAGATTATGTCCCTCTATTTTCAGGCTTGTTTCTCCTAGGCCTTGACCTCTTTTCCGAATTTTCTTTATATCGAACTCTTCTTCATTTAGTGTAGATTAATGTGGTTTTTACGAATCATAAAACGAACTTCTAGTTTGTTTAAAAATCTAATTTGAACATGACATTATCGTTGCTGAAAAATACAGAAAATTCAGAATAGATTCCTTCTGTTATCAGCCCTTTTTCTCCTAGGTTTTGAACTCTTTTCGGATTTTCTTTTTGTGAAATTGTTTTTTCATTCAGTGTACTTTGTTGTGGTTTTTACGGATTATTAAATGGACTTCAAATTTGTCCAGAAATCAAGGTTGAACTTGACTTGTCAGTTCTGAAATTTTCTGTCAGAAAAATCAGGTTTGGGCTACTGTTTTAGGAGGCTCGTTCTGCTTGACTTTTGGTCCTTTTTCGCTAAACTCTTTTGATAAAACCCCTCTTTGTTTATCGAGGTTCAATGTTGTTTTGATAGATTGCTGAAACAATGAATGAGTTGGGCAAAAATGAATCTTGAAAACGGCCACTTAGTCACCTCAGTTCTGAAAATTCAGAACTGAGGCTTTGAAAGGCTAATTTGAAGTTTCTGGTTCCTTTGACTCTGAACCCTTTTCTAATACAACTTCCACACTTTGTTTTCTGTCCATGGCGTGTTTTATAGGCTGCAAAATTAGTCACTTGGGTACTTGAAATTCCACTTGGAACTCGGGACAAAGATAACTCATTTGTAGAGGTGAGTGTTCCTCCTGGGACTTGCATGTGATTGTCTCCCCCAATGTACTCATGACTAAATGAATGTCTTTATGCTTTTATTGAATATACTTCTAAATGTTGTTGCTATTTAATGAATGAAATGCATGTTATTATATGACCCAAAGTGTATTTTACCACTTCGGGATAAATGCTGTGTGTTTAATGACTGAAGGTATATGAAGTGATTGTGTTAATCTGCTATGAGTATAGTTTAGGTCTACACCTTGCTATCTATGATATGGTGTATAGATTGTGATAGTTTCTCTTTTACAACGAGACTAATGTTTCTATATTTTATAGACATTTTCACTAAAGTAGATCAGATCATCACAATGTGATTATTATTCTCATTTCAGATAATATTAATGCCTTAAAATAGTTTCTGTTTCACGACGCCTTGAGCGAGTGATCACTCGGCGGGCGGCCTAAGTGTTATTAAGCTTGTCCAAATGAGCTGTCGAATTTTGGGGCCATTACAGATTTGTTTTGGGCTGATGTTATTAAAGCCTGCAGATTCATATTGGGCTCGAAGGCTCATTACATTTCGGCTCATTACTCCCGCGGAATGTCATGGAATAGGGGTTCAATGAAGCCCTAAAATCCTTATTATTAGATTCGAGAAAAGTCAGTAAGCTCCAATTCAATCTGAGCAAAATTTATCTGGAGAATTCGGATTGAATCTATACGAAAGTTCATAGGGTCTCCAAAATCTGTGTTCTAGGGTTTATAGTTCGTGGGGTTTAGCAGTAGTACGACATCGTATTGAAGGTCGTTTTGCGAAGCAGCAATGGAGGAGGAGAATCCGAGCTCGAAGAGACAAAAGGTTGGAGGCGACGGCGTTGCACCACCACCACTGGCTTCAGTTGTAGAAAATGCATTACTTCCCCTGGCCTCGTACGATGATGATGACGAGAAGGTGGTTGAGGATGTGAATGTGGTGGTTCCTCAAAATATGAACCACGAGGTTGACGATGATGATGATGATGAGGAAGAGCATTTTGGAAACGGCAATGTCGGGAACCGTAATCGGTCTATTGATTTGAGGCGAGATTGCCCTTATCTGGATACCGTTAATCGACAGGTATATTTGAATTTAGGGCTTTTTAATATTAAAATTTCTTTTGTATGTGCTTTGTGTTCTTTGAATTGTTTGTTTGTTGTAACTTAGAAATGCATAGTATGCTAATAATCTAAGGGGAGCCGAGATTTTTCTTGGTTTTCCCTGTAATGATGCAACTTTAACATAAGATAATAATTGTCTCAATCCTTTTGCAGGTTTTGGATTTTGACTTTGAGAAATTTTGCTCTGTTTCCCTCTCCAATTTGAATGTATATGCATGTTTGGTTTGTGGGAAGTACTTTCAAGGGAGGGGGCAGAAATCCCATGCATATACTCACAGTCTGGAAGCCGGACACCATGTATACATTAATCTTCGGACGGAGAAAGTTTATTGCCTCCCTGATGGCTACGAAATTATTGACCCATCACTGGATGATATACGACATGTTCTTAACCCAAGGTTTTGTCTCATCACTTTTTCGCAGAAAAGTTTTTCTAACTTTCCTTTCTCTATGGCTGTCTAACTCTGTTCTACCTGCTCTTTTTTGTGCCATTCGGGTACAGGTTTTCTAGGGAACAAGTTGAGCAGCTTGACAAGAATAAGCAGTGGTCTAGGGCACTTGACGGATCAGATTATCTTCCCGGAATGGTTTGTTCAAAACCTTTTTTTCCCCATTTTTTAGGTAGGTCTTATTCTGGTTCTTGCATTGATACTTTTTCCCCCATTTTGGAACCTTTTTCAGGTGGGACTGAATAACATCAAGGAGACTGATTTTGTTAATGTGACTATTCAATCCTTAATGCGAGTTACTCCTCTGAGGAATTTTTTCCTTATCCCGGAAAACTATCAGCACAGCAAATCTCCGCTTGTTCATCGGTTTGGAGAGCTTACACGAAAGATTTGGCATGCAAGAAACTTCAAGGGACAGGTACGGTTAAGTGCAATATTTGCGAGGATGTGAGCCTTGGGTTCTATTTTGATATATGGATTTTTGCAGGTTAGTCCTCATGAGTTCTTGCAGGCAGTTATGAAAGCCAGTAAAAAGCGGTTTCGAATTGGTCAACAGTCTGACCCAGTTGAGTTTATGTCATGGCTACTTAATACTTTACATACAGATCTCAGGACTTCAAAGAAAAGTAGCAGCATCATACACCAGTGCTTTCAGGTTACTTTTATTAAACCATTATCTTTAGTTTTCTCTCTGCTTCAATTTATACTTTTCTGTTTGGGGAGAGATATGGTTTTAAATTCTATCTTATGCTTAACAGGGAGAACTGGAGGTAGTGAGGGAAATTAATAGTCGGCCCATGATTGAAAGAAAAGAAAATGGAGATGCTGGAGAAAACGGAAGTGAGGTGCCTCATCTTCATTCAGAGCAGATGCCATTCTTAATGCTTGGTTTGGACTTGCCACCACCCCCACTGTTCAAAGACATTATGGAGAAAAATATTATTCCACAGGTTTTCACATACTGACTTTGTTCTTTGGTTATCCACATGTGCTTCTTAAGGAGTTCATGATAGAAAGAATTTGCTGAAGAAAGGGTTTTAGTCGAGTTAGTCTTTCATGAATCTGACCAGATGCTTTCGCTCGCACCACCTCTTAATATGTACCCTTCTGGTTAAGTGGTAGAGTAATTATTTGAATTCTGTTCACACTCCCATTTACTGAAATTTCTCTCAGGTCCCCCTTTTCAACATCCTGAAGAAATTTGATGGTGAGACAGTGACGGAAATTGTGCGACCTAAGATGGCCAGGATGAGGTATCGTGTGACTAAGCTGCCAAAATACCTAATTCTCCATGTGCGGCGGTTTACAAAGAATAACTTCTTCGTGGAGAAAAATCCTACACTGGGTATGATTTCTGATCATTTTGATTTTGTGTGTGGTTTTGCTATGGGCTTTGACACTGTGTTTATTACTGGTCTAAGGGTTCCCCCCTTTGCATAAAATTTCATTCTGTCGGCTTATAGTACTATAAAGCTTTATTCTTATACACTAGTTTGTGCGTTTGGCTGTTCTTGATTCAACGTCGTCCCAAGGGATTGACTCTGGCTATTTGGTTTCCAGTCTTCATTCATAACTGAGTTTTCTCATTTCTCCCCAGTCAATTTTCCTGTGAAGAATCTAGAGCTCAAGGACTACATTCCACTTCCAGCGCCAAAAGAGAATGAAAAACTACGGTCCAAGTATGATTTGATTGCGAATATCGTTCATGATGGCAAACCGGGGGAAGGTTCATACCGTGTGTTTGTACAGCGAAAATCGGAGGAGTTATGGTGATGTTCTCACTAGTGTTGATAACATTGGTTTATTTTGATAGCAAGACACAACTTTGATCATTGTTGTTGGTCTCCTAGGTATGAGATGCAAGATCTCCATGTCTCGGAAACACTTCCTCAGATGGTTGCACTTTCGGAAACATACATGCAGATTTATGAACAGCAGCAGCAATTACATTAAAGGAGTTTGCCTGAAATGCATAGTGGGCCACGATATCACACCTTGAGGGTTTGAAACTTTTTTTTTTTTTGATTTGGTCACGACTACTTACTAGCCAACCCCACATGAAGGGTTAAACTTAAATGATAGCTGCTGTTGTTGTTGCTGTTGCTGCATGATAGCTGCTGTTGTTATTCTTGTTTTTGACAAAGGAGAGGAAATTATCATACACATTTTTGCGATTTTATTTTTTCTCAATGTCATTTCTTTCACAATAATACCTTGGAGATATTTATGGTCATGACTTCAATCTGTCTCAATGACAATAGCTGCTAATGAGTGTAATTTTACTTGGGTGTTTTTTGTACTTGTGTGATCTCTTGATGTGTGGCTGCAGTGGCTTGTTCATTCTATTCGTGACTGTTTCAGCCCCATGCTTTAGGTTCGTCGGCCAGGAAGACCATGGCTGGACTGGTGCTTGCCCCTGACTATAGTATGAAAACTTTCGGGCGTCAAAGCCGGAAAACCCAAGGGCACTGTAGTAAGAGAGTTGAAGTCTGTTTCTTTTCCAGTGTGTTTGGCTTAATGATATTTTGTTTTCCTGACAATATTGTGGTACAGTTCATTATTGAGTTGAATCTGTTAACTTTCATTTTTGACTATAGTTGTTTGAGGGAGCCACACTGCCATAGGGATCCCCATGTCCACGCTTCATAAACTTTTAGACTTATGTCTCATTCTATTTATTTTGTTAAATTAAAATAATACCATAATTTTACTATTAAAATCATAACAAAAGTATATCAAGTACAAGCATCGGATTCCTTGCGTTGTGACCAAATTCATGAAAAAAAAAGGAAAAGAAAATTAAATTGTGCATAAAGTTATTGATGGCGGAGCACAATCTAAGAATGAAAATCGAACATTCTTTCTCTTGTAATAATCTAAGAATGAAAAATGGACATTCTTCCACTTGTAATCTCTTCACTCTATCTTATAAGAGGTATGAGGAGGGCTTCGGCATGCAGGAGCTGCAAATAATAAAAAATAAAGATGTTATTAGAACTGGATTTTAGTAATTTTGCATTGGTCTCTTTAAATGAACTAATAAAAAGAAGAGTAACTTCATTAGCATTCTTCATGGTAATTTTCTAGTATTGTTGCTTCCCATGCTCAATGTTTATTTAATAAACTCTTGGATTCAGAAAAGTAATTCAATTAAAAAGTCCATTTTTGTAAAATTATTTTCTGAAACGGAAGAAGCATTTTATATGTGCAATAGTTTTATTCTGTTTTGAACCTCACAAAAGAAGTCTCAAGTATTAGGAAAAATTAATGTTGTATTCTTTTTTTACAGTAAAGATAATCATGTGTTACAGCGTTACATATTATTCAAATTTTTGTACCCTCAAAAATCAAAATGTATAGGCCATTCATCTTTTGACTCAATAATATTATTCATTTCAAGAAATTACCTTCAATTTTTTTTTTTATTTTACCACATTATGCCATTCGCTCAATCATATACATTATTTTACAACTTCCTTTAATTTGGCTCAGTTCTTGAGGCTTAAATAGTAGAAAAATTTAGTAATAAAACATGTTACAAGTCATCTTAAACAAATTTATCACTAAATTAATCATGGAACATGCAATTTGGTTGGAAGTTTGCCAAAAAAAAAAAAATCGTTTTTGAAGCTTAAAAATTAAAAGATATTATTCACCTGCCAAATAAATTGGTAAAAGGATGATGTATCTTCTTTCTTTTCCAAATCAATTGATTTGGCACGGATCCAGGTCAGCAAAGCCAAAAACATGTGACCACCAACCTGTATATATTTCAAGGGGGAGAAAAAAGAAGAAAGTTAACTCTAGCCTTAATAACTGCAATTGAATATTTTTTAGAAGAAAACTAATTAACCAGTCTTTTGGCTTTTCAAGAATGCATATACTAAAATTCTCACCGTCCCGAAATAATTACGTAATTTAAATTTTTACTTAATATAAATTATATTATTAAAACAAAAATTTTAACTAAATAATTATTTCAGTACGCAGTGAATATAACACACTTGTGAACAAAGAAATGTAAGAAAACAGACTTACTGTAATGGCTTTGCTCCAATTCTGGGAAGCTGTCAATCCAACCGCAATAGAACTGAGATAACCGATTTGAAGAAGGGCAATGCAAATTCCGAATACCTGTAAAGAATCAGAACAATGTTACAATAACAGAAAAGGGAAAGGAAAAACAATATTTTAACCCAAAAAAATAATTTATAAATTAAGACCGACCGTGTAATAATTTTTTAAATTATTTTTCTAAAACGGAAAAAGTAATCAACAAATTTGACAACTTACTGTCTTTTGACCCAAGCGCACAGCAAGAGATTTGACACCATGTAACTTGTCACCAGGAATATCAGGAATATCCTACAAAAATATCATTATACTTTTAAAAATCAAGATAACCTTAATTCCTCCAATAGTCTACGAGAAAGTAAACATGTTTTTTATAACATAAAAAAATAAAAAATGTTCGGACAAAATTATTTCAAAATTAATTTAACCCTCAAACAACACATGAACTGGCCATTGTTTGGCCTATTAAATTAGGTCGGAATCTGACCAACTTTTAATTCTCAAGTCTCAACAACAGCGGCGCAAAGAGGCCCAGTAGTTTAGAATTAGTACTTGTTTTTGTCCGAACATATTTTTTCAAAATCATGATCAAATCCCATTATTAAACTTCTAATCTAAACCTAAAAATACAAACACAAGTCAATAAAATAATCCAAATGGGGCCTTAAACTTCAAATGATCAACCTGTTTTCTCCCATTTTTGTAGGGCCTTTAGTTGATCAGTTTATCAGCAAGCTATTCAATTGCTTGTATGTATATATGCGGTCCTAAGGTAGCAATCATTAAATGGTTACTTTAGGCTCTATTTTAACACAATATTTCACATTTTTAATACATTTTTCAATATTTTAAATGGACAGTTTTACATAAGCAATAACTAAATTTCCAAAAAAAATTATTATGTATATCATCCTCATTGAAACTGTACTCATTACAAAATATTTTTGGATGGAAAGTTTAAGTTAAGGTAAACTCTAGCTAGTATAATTTGTTTTTCTTTTTTCTTTTTTTAAAATTTATTTTTCGAACCCAAAACAATGAAAACCTAAAAGTATAGTTCTTGTAAATTTTCAGGGAATGTATGAAATGGGAAAATACCTTAAACAATGCTATTACGATCGAGAACAATGATGTCATTGCTAATGCCAACGTTATAGGCTTTGTAGCAACCACCGGTCGTCCAAGCACAAAACTCTGCATTATTTTTGTAGGTAATGATTAATACATATTCTCCTGTCTTTAAATGATGGTCCTGTTTAGATTTCTATTTTTGAGATGGATAAATACAAATAGATCTGAACTAAACTACAAAAAAGTAAAATGATAATCACACTATCTTTATGTTTTTTTCTTATAAAGAGGGAAAAAAATTATGATAATTAATTTGAATGTGATTTGCACCTAATTACTTTTCCATTTATTTATTCATGAAAGAAGATACATGAAAAAAAAAATTCCAAACTAAAACCTTTTCCTGAGCAAAAGAATGTTGGGCAGAAAAATCGTGCAACTCTGAAATAACAAAAAGATAACTGGCTTTTGCAGAGTGAACGCAATTAACTCTTTTTTATATTAATCTTCACGAACAAGATTTATGAATACTTGATCTTGAAGTAATAAGAATCTATTACTATTACCATCTCACCCTATACATGAATTACTAAGATAATCATCATAAAAATAAATAAGGCATTCATTTTTTAGAAAAAAAAAAAGTCAGTTAAACAGATATTATCTCTGTCTTAAAATGATTATTCTATTTCAATTTTTCATTCTTTATATAATAATATATGATTTAAATAAAAAAATTGACGGACAGAGAGAGTATTTTTTACTCGAAAAGCGAAAGATAAATAACAAAAAAACCAACCTGCATATGCCAATAATATGTTAGCTGCGTAGGTACTCGAAAAGCCAAGGTACAAACTCCAGCAAGCAGGGCTGATTTCTTCCATCTTAGGTAAGGTAACTGCGTTGGGGATGAAACAGAAACAACTAAGAAAATCATACACATTTTTTTTTATTATTACTTTAGGGAACTCAATGAGATTGAATAAACCTTAGACAACCCAACTAATGGATTAAATAATTTAATCAAACATGAAATTCTTTTAATTTATAAATTATTAAAAACGTAACTTACATCGACCGAGTATATAGTCCCAAACACAAAAAGGGTTAGAAGACCACAAAATAAGGGCAAGGAGCCAACGCTCCAGCTGATCCCAAAACTCTGTGACAAGAAGCAAAAAATATAGTTAGTGGCTATATTTAAAACGGAAGAGAGAAAAAAAAAAAAAAGCTATGTGGATATTGTTATGAAATCTACAATTTCTATGCAAGTAAACAAACCAATTCCAAACTGAATCTACGTGACACACACTTAATTTAGTGAAAAGCAAAGGAAAGTTTGGCATAATTTAAGAGGAATTAAAGTAATGCTAGATTCTTCGCTCGGGCAAATGTACAAAAACATAATTTAGTCATAAGTACTAGCAAATCGAAACTTTTAGAACAGTTAAATTATGATTAAAAAAATATGATATGGTAAAATTTTGACGTCCCAGCACCATTTGATTGCTAATTTTTTCTTTGGAAATATCAACAACAAGCCATTAAAAGTCTACTACACCATAATTAGGACCACATTTGGCATGAAAACTGTGATATTAAACTAATATAAAGAAATCAGTATGTTTTGATCCCACCAAAGACCGTATTTTCTTTGTCTCGTACTTATATTCCAAATCTTCTTTTCCTTTTTTTTTCTTTTAAGAACCGAAAAGAGATTTTAAGTTTTGACTAATAAATAACCTCCACCTCATTTCAGACGAGTTTCAATAAATTCCTCAAATCATTTTGAAATTTCAATCTCTACACTTACTTTAAATTTTTTAATTGGACATATAAGATGCAAGAGTATCCAATGGTTGTTAACAACACTGATAAATATAAACGTAATACATATAATTATTTTTTTTATTTGGAATATAAATAGTGAACTTTCCAAAATTAAATTGTTTGATTGCTAACAGTTTCCAAGAAAGATTATGGTTCAAGGTCCAAGATTAATTATGATGTAAAATCAGCACAGGAAGTTGGGTATATCTAGTACCACTATTGCAGAAAGAGAAATTATAATCCAAGCAGTCTTCATTGAATACTCCCCTGATGCCAGTGGAAGGTAAGGTTTATTAACCTGAAAATAAGAACACCAGAATTTCTGAAGTGGATAAACAAAAGTTTAAATAAAAACATATATAATCCTATATTAAAAAAAATAAAAAAAATTGCATACGTCTTTTGACAACAAATCAACTTATTGTCGTCCAGAAAATGTGCTTTCCAATTAATTAATATTTCATTTAATGTTTCTCTCTCTTTGAAGAATAGTCTAAAAATTGGTGATAAGTATATTTGTAACATAAACCTCTATGGACCATTCTTTTAGTCAAAGGATATCTTCCGACGCCATGTATATTATTTTAAGGTACTTAGGTTGTTGGAGTCAAACAAGTACTTATCTTCGAAGAGATACTCTTCCCCAGCATAGCAAGCCTTTTTGTGTTTTTATACTTTTGTAAACAGTGAAATATTTTTCTTAAAAACGGTCCACTTTGTTTAATAAAATTACTAGAATTACTAAATACTACATCCGTCAGAAAAATAGTCCACATTAAGTTTTGAGTTTTGTATTGTTTTTAGTACAAATTTAAAAACTCAATGTGGACTATTCTTTTTGGACGGAGATAGAATAATCTTGGAAGAGATACTTTCAGACATTCTACCTTGTCGATTTCAACGTCTGCCACTTGATTTATACCAACATAGTAGATATACATGAAGAATACTGCAGCCATAACCTGGAAAAAAAAAAAAACAATTTTCACTCAGCTTCTGAAACATAACGTTATTTACCTTAATCAATTTACTGAATAAAACTTCTTCAATTCATACAAAATTTCCAAACAAACCTGGAACATCCCAGTCAGAAACATTGGAGAAAAATCCGAGAGAGACTTAACCGCGATAAGAGATACTGTAAGTATGCTTGATATCTGCTCATATATATATATATGGAGAGATTAATTAGACAAAAAAAAAAGCTTTTATTTATCAGAATAATATGAGAAAGAAAATACTTGCTCCGTCCCAAAAAAAAAAATAGTGATAATACTAACTCGAACGATTTTTAGATATTTGAACTTACATCTCCGACAAATGCATACGGCCTTACGAACCGATAGAAAACATCATACGTCTCTTGAATTGTTTTCAATAGGCTCTTTGAAGATTCAGATTCATAACTCGTGTTCAAAGCCGAATTTGCCAGAAAACTGTCACTTCCTTTGCGAGAGATTAGAGAACTAGATTTGACAATATTATTACTGATTCTAACATTCTGGGACGACATTTGGAGATTTTTGTGTAAGATCTCAGGTTCCATCAGTTGTTTCTCTATATTTTCCCGTTGTTTGCATTGCAAAATACGTGCTCCTGCATAGGCGAATCGAGGCATGATTGAACTTTGCAACAAAAGACCTTTTTTTTTTTTTCCCTCCAAGTAAATTAAACAAAACTACAGTTTTAAATAGTTATTACACGACTATCTATTATATTCTATAAACGGAGCGACTTCTCTGTAACACTTTCTTGAACGCATTTTGTCAAATAAATTGTGTGAATTTCCTGCAATTAATTCAAATTATATATGTAGAATTTATGCCGCTTTACAAATTGTGTTCTCACTATCTTTTAATCCAGATCTTTTTTCAACCCTCTATACAACAAATCTTATTCATGATCAAATGAAATATGACTTCCATACACGCAAACCTAAGGATACTTCAATACTTCAACATGTAGCAATGTCGTTTCTCTTTGTTCTTTAATGAAAAAAAAAGTGAAATAGAAATTGCCATTTCGTGGTAAAATGGCAGAATAATAACAAGCCTCAAAAAATAAAGTTGTTATTCGTATTTCTGGCAATAAAAAGTGGTTAACATGAAAACTCCGCTTTTCTGGCTGACGGTAATTTACCCTATCCTCTTCTTTACAAGATGATGGTTGGACTTTAAGCACAAACATACAAAATAAAAATAGTTAAACTTTGTTAAATATTCCGTAAATTATCCACATGAAATACGGTAAAAATCACTAATGACGGGAATTATATAGAGAAAAAAGAGTTACCATGAGAAGTAGAACGCAATCCAGCTATGCCAGGATAACAAGAAAAGGAAGTAGGCTTGGCCAAGGAACCTGTGAGCAAAGACTCCATTGCTATATTTGGTTTCTTTTGAAAATCTCTTCAAAAAAAGTTTCTTTTGAAAAGAAGAAACAACTGCAAATGGAACTTAAATGTAAGAGGGAAAAAAGGGTAAAGAGGGGGATATATATTCAAAGAGAACTTCTTAGTTGAAGATCGAAGTGCATGTATGCAATATATATACATGTTCACTGAAAGTTGGTGGGTGTACCGTTTAAGGATGATGCAAGCAGATAAGTAATACTCCATCTGTTCTAAAATTATTGTCCAGAGATTTCATTTTAAGTACAATTTGAACTGAAAATGAAAATTCAAACTGGACAATATTTATGTGACGGAAGGAGTACTACTAAAATCTTTGATTTTAAATAGTGGATTTAGAAAGACCATTATAATTTTAAATTTTTTGATAAACTCTCCTATTCATTTAAGTGCTTATTATGAGCGAAACGAATTAGTTATTGTTATTGACGGTGGACATTTGATAAAACGAGGAAAAAAAAAAAAAAAACCATCATCTCCCCCACGCATACAAAAAATGACATATGGTCTTTTGTTGACTTGTGTTATCATATTGGACTAAATTTACATGATGCGTTCGTTTCTGGTCCCTTTACTTGAAAACAACGCCAAATTAAGAGTCGAATTAGCCTCTACATCTTTTCTTTCAAATCCAACTACATAAGAAACACTTATTTCGCATCTTTTCCGCATTGGAGTAAAAGAGAAATATATATATTTTTTAATAACTGTTGCTCGTGTTCCTTATTTTTATTCAATAAACGAGATTATTTTTGGAAATTAGTTTGTTATTATATATTACTCATTTAATGATTCGTTTAGACTGGCTGTGGATTGTTTACTTCCCTTGTATTAAAATGATTGGGAATTAATAAATTGAAAGTATTTTTTAATATAGAAAAACAGTCTCACATCCTACCCCGGTATCTCCCCCAAAATAAACAATCCACGCGCCACGAACAAATTTTTTTATTCTAATTTATATTAAGTCCTGATTTGAATCATACTTAATTGTCCTTGGACGGTTCTTTAGCAAATTTGATATAATTTTTTACCTTTCAGAAAAAGAATCATATTTTATTGTTGTATTATAATATCAATTTGCATTGTGAAAGAAATTTATTCTTCAATCATTATAAGAAGTTGAGGAATAAAGGGAAAAACAAATATGGTGACATAATAATGTGATAAAGAAGGGTATTACAGATATTTAAAAACATTGCTCCTAATATAGCAAATTTGATCTTAATTTATGCCAAAATGAAAGTATTATTTGATATTCATTTTTACATTAATTTGTATTAAAACGAAATATTTAAACTGGACAATCACTTCAGAATCGAAAGAGTGTTCGATCTGTAGAAAATAATTTATTGATTGGATAAGTTTGTTGATCGAATTGCTTGCGACGCTGTTGATGTCCACTGATGTGTTCCATGTATTTCAAGAGAGATTCAGTCAGAAAAATTATACTGTATTTATTAGTTTTGTGGTTTGAAAATTTTATCATACAGGGATGGATCCAAAGATACATATTTATTAAACCGAGTAATTTTTGTAATAACAATTTTTATAATATCTAATAATGTATACTTTCCTCTTCTACTTTCAAAAGTTGCCTTCAAATTCAAAGGCATTATATTTCTCTCTTCCTAAACAACCCTTCCTTCGATGCTCCTAAAATTTTCTTCACATAACCAGCATCAAAATTTCCTTTAAAAATATGAACAAATCCCTCCCTCCAAAAATCAGGTCCTAGTAATGTTAGAATTACTTGGAATAAACAACAAGCGCCTTCAGTGTTTGATTATTTTTCTGAAAGTAATTTATTAACCCAGCCAAATTGTATCATAGCATTTCTGATTCCTCGGGACCTTTTGTTTTATTTAAAATTTGAGCAACTGTCTTCTAACTTATGGATTTTATATTGCAATGGTGAAATAAATGCGGGGAGAGTGGTTTGCAAATGCTATGTTTCTGTCCAAAGAAACATATATATTGCAATAACTCTTCAGTGATGATGATATATATAGCTTCCAACAATTTTGTTGATTAATTAATTATTATGTCTGTTCCAAAAAAAAAGTCTACATTAAATTTTAAAATTGGTACAATGTTCAATATAAAATTCAAAATTTAGTATGATTTTTTTTTTATTATTGTTTTTAGGACAGAGGGAGCACTATCTCTACTTCTCTTCCCGGACATGATTCGAGGTTTGGAATAATGGAATAATTAAGACTAAGAAAAGAGACCAAAAAATCATTAAGTATTTGCTTACGTATAAACTTCAAGTCACCACCCAATTTGGACTTTCAAACAATATCTCGTGGACGAAAATGTGTACTTCTCCACCAAACCGTGAAGATGCAACTAAAATTCATGTCTTCGTCATTATATTTTTGAGGTGCTATATCATTTGACCTATTGAAAGGATTTTGGTAATTGAGTTGGCGCCATTGTCCCTCAAGAAGAGAGAAATAATGACTTTGAAATCATCATATAGGCCAATTCTGGAAAGTAAGGGAAAGTTTATACTGGATGTTAAAATTTTGTTGTGGTTATTAAGATGGATGAGTGCAAATACGAGAAATTAATAAAAAGAATAAGAATTGGAAAAGTCACCATAGTCTCATGATTGGAGTTCATATTTTCTCATAGTCATTGCAAGAAGAAAAATATAGGTCCCTGGAGACATTCTCCTCCATACAAATACATGGTACCAAAAAATTCAGAAACGGAATGCGCAGATTTTGAAAAATGTTTGCAAAGTTCTTTATTATTGCATGTCACTATAAAGGACTATAATCAAATCATGCATTATTGTTATCCAATGAATGAAGTCTACTTGGGTATCGGATAATTAATGTAAGTACGACTATTGCTTTATTTTCAGATGTCTTTTACACAAATTCGCTATCCTGATTTCTAAACTTGACTTTGATTTACAGTTTTCAATTTCTTGTTGTCTAATCATATGCAGTGAATTATATTATCTTTTTCCTTTTTTCTTATTTTCTTCTTATAATTTTGAGAAATGTAGTTTAAAAGAATAACCGGGTAGCTACTTAAGTTGTAAAAAATTTAACAGTTGAATTTGGGTAGCAAAAATCCATGTTTATTGGGAAGAAAAGAAGAAAACGGGAAAGATCACAAGGGTAAAAGAAAATGGAGGACTAACTCTTTTTCTTTTAATAAAACATTGGGTTAAGGACTCAAATTCCTCACATTTTCCTTGAAATCCATCTTGGACTTAATCCCTTGAAGCCTTTATTCCATGGGATTAAAATTGAGCAAAATGATAATTTTGGAAGAAATTCTTTTTTTTTTTCCCAAAAGAAAAAATTAGTTTATATTGTTGGGGTTGTTTTAATTTTACAAAATATATCTGTGAGAGAGAGAGATGGAGTAAAAGCTTTCATTTCTTTTCCAATACAAGTGAAAGTACGGCATTTATTGACTTAGCTTCTTTATAAATAATATATATATATATATATATATATATATATTGAAATCCAACTTTCTTATATAGCAAAGAAACAGTACATCAACGTTGATTGGAGGCGCTCTAGCTATCCTATGAGGGCCTTCCACTAAATCCTTAGAAACTTTTATTATATTTCTTCTACGAATCTGAGATAGCAAGAAACGAAATTCACTCACAAGAGTGGATAGATACATAAGACAATTTTTTTCCTCCAATGAAATCGACCAGATTCTAACAATCAGACCTTATCTGACAATCTGACAGACCTAACATGATTGCACTTCGAAGACCCCCAAGCAAGCCCGGACTTTAGCGTCCTCCGCAGATCCGTTCTTTATAAATATAAAAACTACTAAATTAGGGCTGAAAAGTTTAAATCTCTGTATGAGAAAAGTGACATTTTTTTGGGCAAACAGAAAATTAAATTGACGTTTTTAGTTGTTCATATTATTTATCAGACGGTGTGAGTGATTCATCCCTAAAAATTTTTAACTTGAACTTACCATATATGAGCACCCATTAAATTAAAGCAAGAGACGTTTGTAATTTATCCTCCATACTTCTTGCTAGGAGAGATTTGTTTATTGAAAAGTACCTACCCGATTCTTAGAAGTTCATATAAGTGGTGATAATTTCAAATTCATAATATATATATATATATATATATATATATATATATATATATAAGAAACAAATCAAGTAAGAGACGGGTGCAAATTTATCAATTTTTACAGTTCTTGATCAGAGCAGATGAATGTATAATTTATTAATGTTTACCGTTCAAGACCGTAATCAGACGGATTATGTTGTTTTTTTTCCTAGTCATTAATTTAAGAATATTGATGATTATAGTACTTCTATATAACATGGACGTTACACGGATTTTCTATTTTTAATAGGTCACGGGTTCGAATCACGCCGAGATAAGTGAGGAATCACTGTCGATCCCTTTAAAAAATAAAATAAAATAACATGGTCACAATTTAAAATTTAAAAAATAAAACCTAAACCCTCATTTCACACAAGGTCAATTCCTTCGCCCACGTCTATATAAATTAACCAATCTGCCGATACCGAATCACCATGAAATCTTGTTTAATTTTCTATGATTTTGTCTTTTGGACAAATCCATCTAAATTGCGAGTGACATTGACAAAATAATATGCTTAATCTTGAAAAAGTTAACATTACGCATGTGACAAGTTATCTTGCCGGTTGGATCCCGTTACTTGAAAATACACCATACAGCAGTCTACGGACGTGTTGAATCGTGTTACAAGGATACTATTATTCCAATATGGTATGACAAGCACGTTAGGACTATTTCAATAAATTATAGAAGAAAAAACAAAAACTGTCATATTAGGACCAAAATAAAATTAAAAAAAAAAAACCTAGTACGTTATTTTAGCAACTCATATAACCTAGTACGTTATTTTAGTTACCTAGTACATGTTTTCAAAATTAAAAAAAAAAAATTTAGGGCCGACTAAAATAAGTTTCTATATGATTATGAAAATAAATAATTATTTCTTTTATTGATCATATAATATATTTTGATGATTTTGAAAAAATAGTAAACAAAATTAATATGAAATAGGAAAAAAAATGAAACCAGTAGGAAAAAATGAATAAATTAGGATGTTTTCAGTAGCTTTTGAAACCAGTATTATGTGACAGGTTTCAAGTAGCCGAATTTGACTTGCAATTGCCATGTTCTAACGTTCTTTACAGAGCAGTTGCAACATCAATTTCGGTTATCATATGTAAAGCGTATTTTCTTTTTCTTTCTTTTTTTTTTCCAATAAGTTAAAAATAAAACTTACGCTCTATTCTTTTTCATCATCTTTAAAAAAAGAAACGAGAAAAATGTCTTTTAAACATTAGATAATCACAAAACAAAATCATAGGTAATACACACCCACAATGTTGTGCTCCAACTACATTAATTTAAATATCCTCGACATTGAATCATATAACCAGAAAGTCAAATAAATTAGTAATAATTAAGGATGTTAAAAGGAAAAAATGGTGGTTATACTCAAAACTTTGGCCTCATTGTCAATTCTACCTTATTGATTTTTGGTTAGCCAATGTTGTCTTTACTGTTTGAAATTTTTACCAATTTCGTCCAATTAGTCTAATTTCCATTAAACTTAACCGATTTCTGTTATTTTTTAACAAAAAATACCCCAATAGTTTAAAAAATTATAAAAACAACTGCTAAAATATGTAAAAAAAAAACAAATAATCCCGTTTCACTTTTTAATTCATTTTTTCCTATTTCATTTTAATTTTGTTTACTATTTTTCATAATCATCAAAATATACTATATGATCAAAAAAAAAATAATTATTATTTTCAAGCTCTACTTTTTCCATGTTAAATATGAGATGTAAAATTGGGCTCTCGAAACATGCTGTAGTACCACAACATTCAAATGAAAGAAGCTCACCAATTGCATCAGAACTATAAACAACATGTGACAAGCGTCTTTTGCCTTGAAACCCAAAAACTACACAACGAATTCCATGTACGTGCAGAATACTATAAAAGGATCGTCGTCCCAAACGATCAACTTTTGCTCCAGTAGTCCCACCTAATCAAGAGATTTACGGGATTTAGTCACATTGATGAAATTGAACGAGCATTTTACCAAAAAAAAAGTCTATGTATGGTCCCGCATTTTACTTCCACAGCCCCCCCCCCCCCCCCTCCCCCCCTCTTCTTCTTCCTCCATTTTCTTACTGACAAAGATAGATTGTTGTAAATTCGGTGCATTAAAAAACACTAAAATGTTGGAAAATCTATCCTCTAACAATCTCATTATTTCTACCCTTGAGTTACAAAAGGACTAACTAATATGTTTCGACATGTGAAAAAAGGGGGGAAAAAAAGAGGCTGGTCCTTGAGGACATTGTCATATATACATAGTTTCACAAAAGGTGTACGCATATTAATTAGAATAATGTTCGCCAAGTCTTGAAAACTGAATCAAATGGTACATTAATTTTGAAGACTGATGAGTGTGCTGGAATGAGTAAGACGTTTTTGTTTCTGGTGAGTTTGCACTCTTTGACATTGTCATATATACACAGTTGCACTCTTTGGATTTTATATTCTGAACTCCTGATATCAATTTTCCCTTCTCTGTTTCCCTAGCTTATTGTTAGTTTTGAGAAATGTGGCTAATCAAAAAGGAAAAGACAAAAAACCTCAGTTAAATAGGGCAATTTTGGTATGAGCCTTGTACTTAACTGCTTCAGGTAATATGTGCCAGTTTACAGTTTATATATATATATATATATATATAAAATACCTCAGTATTTGAATTGACATTTAATCTATCTATGAATTCGAGGATCAATCATCACACAGTAACACTACGGGGAGAAGAGATTTTTTTTTTAACAAGTTCTCACAATGATTTCTTTTTTCAAGAATAGAATAAAATACTGGTAGCTGGCCATGAAAATGAGATTTGTTAAATGAATCTTCAGAAACATTCGAAATATCAGAATCAATAGTATATAAATCCTTAATTTATTTGAACCCTTACAACTTAAAACAACTTAAATTAATAACAGACAGCAAATGATGACTACAAAATTAATACTCCCTCTGTCCCATAATTATTGTCCAGTTTGGATTTTTATTTTTAGTTCAAATTGTACTAAAAATGAAATATCAAATTAGACAATAATTTTGGGACAGAGGAAGTATAACCCTTTTTAAGTTTATTTTGACGTGGATGCAAGTGTTTCCAATACTCGTGGTCATTATGGGCTAACAAACTTTTCTGAAGTTAAATATTAATGTTGTCAATTTTCCGAAGTCTTAGTAGCCTATAACTCTTTTGTAATGAATCATAACTCAAACAATACTATCCTATTTCTCGCAAAAAGTATTCAACATGCTTACTTGTTTGCATCAAAACTATGCCGATTTCCAAAGGAACCTTCAGATTCAATCTCAATAGGTATATCCAAATTCAACAATAATTGTAGAGGTGCAAAAGCTAAATCAGTTTTCAAAGATTTAAATGCAAGTTTTTGTTCACGTCTCCCTTTAAATTAAACTAACATTCTTTTGTACTCCGTGATCTAAAGAAGCAGCCTTAGTTGAAAGAACACATTCACAAATCTATGATAAAAGCAAGATTTGAAATATATATATATATATATGTATATATAAAATAGGAGCTATAAAATATGAATCTTGTAACATATTTTTTTCCTGAATTTTACTCATATAGAGATTTCATCTTTGATTTTCTCCATTGTTTTCAAAAGTTCTAGCGTAGATTTTTCATATTGCAAAAAAAATAAAAAATAAAATTGCAATGTTATCTTCTTCTTCTTATTATTATTATTATTATTATTATTTGGTAACGCTGAGAACCCCACCAAATATAGGTAAACCCACGCCCACTGCAAACCACCCTAGATTTTATTAACTATTTTTTAATTTATATATTACTTAATAATTATTCTTTCAAAAAAAACTTAATAATTATTAACTTATCGATAAATTAATACATTATAATCTAATAATTTTTTGAGATCCCAACATTATTAATTTATTATAGATTTTTAATGTACTTAATTAGTACATAAAAGGGAAATTAATATATGGGCTCATTGTCATAAAGCAAGCAAGGCCCAAGCATTTCAATAAAAAGAAAAAAAGAAAGAAAAGATCTGGGCCGAACATGGTTGCTTAAGATTTAGGGTTAATATCAATACACCCCGAGGTTTTGTCGAATATTTCATTTAGAATATCCTCACCTTTCAAGGAAATATCAAAGACACCCAATGACCGGTCATAGCTAAAAGTCAAACGGTGAGAGCAATAAAATGACTAGATTACCCCTAAACTCTTTCAATGAAAAGAACGTCTTCCTCCTCCTCCTCCTCCTCCTTTCTCGATCGGTTCCTCGCATCAAATTCCCATCCCTCTTTTCTTGACTCTCATAAATTCTCTTGTCATGACCGTGATTACCCAAAACCTTCACCATTAAATATCAATTATGATCATATGAGAAGATATCTCTACCAATAGATCTCAACCCACCAATTTGATTTTTGGGATTCAGAAAAGCAGAAACTTTTTCTTGTCATATTATGGAGGCTGAGTAACAGCCACCACCACAATTAAATCTTAATCCACTTAATATCTTATTCAGTTAGGATTTGGGATAGGGAGCAGCAGCTCCACCCGGCAGGAATCTTTTGCTTTTCAGATCTATTACATTGTGGCTCACTCAAAGTTTTTTTTCTTGAAACAAACATCTTTTCCCGGGCAATTTTTTTTGTTCTTTTTTTCTATTGTTCTATTTAGTTTCTGATGATTGTATTGAGATTTTGGCTTATAGAGATTCAATTGGTTCATGGATTTGTTAAGTTCATTCTTCTTAGATATTGGTTAGTTTCGAGATTTGGTTGGCAAACTTTCTTTTCCCCATTGCCAAGGATTGCAGTTGCAGCAGGAGAGAAAAGTTAAGGCGGGGCATTTTATAATTGTCCAATTTGTGGTGTTCTAATGAAGGGCAAAAGTGGACTTGCAACTTTTTTTTTTTTTTTTTTCTGGACATCACATCTTCACAGTGCCGGAGGACTGTTTTGATATTGTACTTGCTGGTCAATGGGTGTTTATTTTCTCAAAAGTTGAGGGTGTTTTCGATATTCGACTAAACCTCGGGGGTGTATTTGACATTAATCTTAGATTTATGTATTCCTGGCCTTCCTGCGAGCTGGAGCGGGAAAGGAGGGAACTTTTGCCAATTGCATTTGCCATGGCGGGAAATGCACACCCTAAATCCTTTCCCGCGAAAATTCAGATTCATCGTAACATCCCCGCAGTTTATATGCTTTACTTTTATCATTATTCTATTTCAATTCACCATTTTAGATCTCATTTCCCTCCGGATTTTCCTTAAGTTTCTGTTAAAGATGCCGACCATCGCCGCCGGCCGACGTTCATCTCCGGTTGCTATCTCTGAGGTTGGGGATACCACTCCTCAAAAACGAAAGTTGAGGTCCAATTCAGCTGCCAAAGATGGACTGGATTCTTCGGTTTCTTCGTCGCCGATGCAGACTCCTTCTCCATTGAAGCGGAAATCGCCTCGCCGATGCCTAAATGATAGTCCGAAGGCTTTGGGTATTATTAATGAATCGACGGTAACTTCCTAGATCTTCAATCTTGTCTGTGTTTAATTAAATATGTAGTTTCTTTTGATTTCATTAAATTGAAGCTCCCTTTGTCCATTGTTTTTATTTCTTTAGGAAAATGGGGCAGGTACTAATCACAAAGCAGTAAGTCTGACCAAATCACCGGTCAAGAGGAGCTTGTCCGCCGGGTTTTTCGATAAACCAATTTGGAATGCAACAGGCAAGTTCTATTCTAGTATTTAATGAAATTTTGAGCTTTGCTTTTTGATAATTGACTATGATGATAATAATTAGAAGAATAAATTTTAATCCAAGCAAGATCCTAGATTTGGGCTGTCCCTACATAGCGTGCGGTTATGAACTGGGGTCGATGTGTATCTATCGTTAATAATTTGAGAATCCAAAATTTGGATAATGCCTTCTAAGTTTGGATAATTTGGACTTCCCATGATTGATTCTGGAGGCATCTTGGTGCTGAATTATGTGTCCATTCTCTTGCATAGATGTGAAGCATTTGAATGCGGTGAAGGAGGCTTTGCATGTTTCAACTTCCCCTTCAGCTGTTGTGTGCCGGGAAAATGAGCAGAACACTATTTTGGAGTTTTGTAAGAGATGTGTCGAGCAAGAAAGTTCTGGAAGTATGTACATATGTGGATGTCCAGGGACTGGAAAATCACTGATCATGGAAAAAGTGAAGGACGCTTTAGTAGATTGGGCAAAGGAGGTAAGGCTTATACTGACTGACTGAAGTTTATTTGCCTTCATTATAAACTGTTGATTGACTCTGATAAGAATATGATGTCAGGAATATTTTATTACTTTTTAATATCTCAGTGAGTGGTTGCCAATTGTCATCCTTGTTCGAAATCTTAACCTGCTCACCTGTATTCGATAATCACCTTTATATTTTCTCTTTTGCCATGACACACAGGGAGCATTTCAACCACCGGATTTGGTATCCATCAATTGTACATCTCTGGTGAACAGCACTGATGTTTTTAGCAAGGTTGATAGATTCATGGTGTTCCTAGTCCAAAAGGAGCATTTATTCAAGTTGTTTGAAGTATCTAGTGTTTCTTATGACAGATACTGGGAAAAAGCCCACAGCGGAAGAAAAATAGTGGCTCCAGTTCACCTTTGAAGATTCTTCAGAATAGCTATTCTCTGAAACCACCTGCTAGTGGTTTGAAGATGACGTAAGAGGGCTTCCTTTGTGTATATGCTAAATCAATTTGTTTATGTTACCATATGGTTGTTCTTCGAGTTGTGTAGCATACATTAGTTTAGCACTTGAAGTTCTGATTCTGAGTTTTTCCATGTAATTTAATGAATTCACAGGTTAATTATTGCTGATGAGATGGATTATTTGATAACAAAAGATCGGTCGGTACTCCATGATCTATTTATGCTCACCACACTCCCTTTTTCCAGATGCATTTTAATAGGTTTGAATGCCTTCCCGCTTCCGTTCCTTGTCCATCTTGTGAATTTTAGATTTTATCTGGTTTCTGGAAGCTCTTTTACTCATTGGAGGCATTTCATTCTTCTTGTATGATTTCAGGAGTTGCTAATGCAATTGATCTGGCTGATAGGTTTCTTCCAAAACTACAGTCATTGAACTGTAAGTCCTTTCTTCAGCAGAACTGAGCACATTTTGCTTTTCATTGTCGTTTTTTTTCACTTTGTTTGAATGCTGAAGAAATTGTCAATGAAATCAACATATAAGTTTTCTTCTTTGGTTGGATCATTTCGCCTGATTTTTCTCTGTTCTATGTAGGCAAGCCACGTGTGATAACTTTCCGAGCATACTCTAAAGATCAGATCATTGCCATTCTGCAGCAGAGATTAGCTGTAAGTTCTTGACTCGGTCACTTAATTAGAGAACAGCACATTTAGTACTTTTGTTGTGGAGTTCTCTTTCTGAATGGAGAGATGTAATTCTGCTTCCTCCAAATTAGTCATGCTTTTAAAAGTGTTTTTTTTTTTTCAAAAATTTATTTATCTTACACACACTTACAATCGCTTGTTAACTCTCACGGCTAGGCATGATATATCAAAATTGTTTTTGCACAACTTTTTGATATAGCAAAGCACAACTGACTCTCAGTTCAAATATCTTCTGTGTACAAACAGGTACTTCCTTACATTGTTTTCCAGCCTCAGGCATTGGAGCTTTGTGCTCGGGTAAATCCTCTACCATTTCATACTTGTAGAGTTCTTTCTACTCTCTTCAGTCAGCACCTTCCCAAGACTTTTATTAGGATGGTGCCCTCTGTATTTGCCGTGAATGTACTAATCTGATGCTTGTCGCTGTTCAGAGAGTAGCAGCTGCATCTGGAGATCTGCGGAAGGCTCTCTGTGTTTGCAGGTTGGTCATTGACACTTAAAATTTGCTTAATCATAGTACTTGTTTTTGGCTGATTAATAGCAGAAGCAATAAAATGAATATCAGTTAGTAGCTTGATGATTCATTCTTGCTACATGTGCACTCCTGTTTCATTTCTTGATTAAATATGACTCTAAGTGGTAGTATGAAAAAAGGAAATCTTTAAATTTGAGCAGTTCCATTGTAACTACAGTATTAAATACTGTCCAGCAAGCGCCAGGGCTAGGCCCTATTCTGATTGTCTATCCTTGCTGTAAACAATTATATGCATGTTTATATTGAAGAGAACGTTAATTACTTTGTTGGCTTGTGCAAGTGGTTGTGATTAAGAAGCAATTGCTTCAAACAACGGAATCATCCAGTTTAAAGAACTGAAAGTTACTCCTACTTTTCTGAAACATCTAACTCAACTTTTGTTGTTTCAGGAGCGCAATTGAGATGCTAGAAGCAGAAATTAGAGACTCTGCTGAAAATCTTGACCCTGCATTCGTAGATGGACGGATTTGTCATGGTGATACTTTTGGCAAACAAGATAACCAATTTGTAAGTTGGCACCCCTGTGTAGTTATTTCCAATAAAAGCTTTACCAAAAACACGATAATTGAATATCAGAGGCCCAATTTCAACAATATTCTTTACCCCTCTCGCGTGAAATTTCAGTTTACATAAACCCAGGATTGACTTCATTTTTTTTGGTCTACATTTTTTCTTTGGAAATTTGTGTAACCATGTTTTGAACTTTGGACCCACAGTTGTGTTTGTCTATTCATAAATGAGATCTCGGTTGATTGCTTTACTTTTTATTGATGCACCGTGTTTTTACAAATACCTTAAAAGAAGGATACTTCTAGTTTGAGCATGGCTTATATTAGGATTTCATTGTTTAATGCATACTGAAGACACGTCATGATAGCCATTTTGGGTTATCCAACTTTTTTGTTTTTATTCCAGCCATTTTGAAATTTACTGTCCTTAAGCATAGGTCATTCTTTTGATTGAATAGTTCTCTCGTTACAGGTGAGAGTTGATCACATGGCTCTTGCCTTGTCAAAGGCGTATAAATCTCCTGTTGTGGATATTATACAGTCTCTTCCTCAGCATCAACAGGTCAGGTTTGATGTTAGTTAGCTATTCTTTTGGTCATCTGTCACCTGCTTTGTAGAATGAGTTGCTCTTGATGTTGATGAGTAGTATTGTGAGTACTGGCCAGTAATGTGCCATATTTCGACCTTGTGACTGAATCAGTCGTTTTCTTATGTAGATTATACTTTGTTCTGCTGTGAAGCTTTTTCGCGGGAGCAAAAAGAAGGATACCACAATAAGCGAGGTAGACTATTGGTTGATTTTGAACAGCTAACAGGAAGATAATTCATATGGATGTCTGATCTCATGACTTTGTATCTTCTGCAGTTGAATAAATGCTATGTAGAGTTTTGTAAATCAACTTTAATCCCACCACTTTCAATCATGGAACTCTCAAACATGTGCAGAGTTCTAGCAGACCAGGTAAATGAACCGGCATCTTGGTTTCTATTTGTTCACGGAATGATGCAGGCATATGATATCATTACAAGCAAGGAGACTAACATTTTTCTACCTGCAGGGACTTATTAAACTAGGACAGGCACGCGAAGATAAACTAAGACGAGTTATGTTAAAAGTAGACGAGGCAGATATCAACTTCGCATTACAGGTACGGTTCTATTACTTGTCTGTATCTTTTTTTTTGATAAGATTCTTCTGGCTAAAGCACCTAAACAATTCGATTCACTTATACTCTATGTGAACTGTTGCGATAGGGCGTTCGTTTTTTTCGAAACTGTCTTCAAACATAGAAGCTCCGAAGCTTGGGGAAAGATCCCGTATTCTTGACAGTCCTATTCTTGCCTCATTCATAATGGCTCCCCAGTAATGCAAAAGTCACCAGCATTAATGCGTACGATATTCTCAACTGAAAAGACAATGCTGAGGTTGGCATTTGGTAAAGAGCGAGTGAGTGTTGCTGGCTCTTCTGTTTCTCTATGGACAACAAACGAATAGAAGAGCTATTCCATTTGATAGGCTAAAAAACGGCCAGAATGCTCAAGGCTTCCGGTGCCACATTGGAGATCTTCCAGTTAACTATAATTTTTTAGTCAATAATTCTTTCTTGTAGATGAGGATTTTACATAAAATTGTTTGTAGTTGTTTCACCTTCCAAAAGCTTCAAATTAGGTCTTATCAAGTGTAATGTTTGCTTACTTGCAATTCATAATGCACCATCTTGTACAAAACTTTTAGCAATATATGAAGCAATCTAGATTTTCCGTCATATTATTGTGTATTAATCAAAATTTATTATTGGAAACCTAAAGTTTGATGGCCAATAGGCAATATGACAATGTATAATAATTCTATGAAATTGTAGGGATGTCACTGAAATATTTTACATTCAAGTAAAAGGCTTAATGTAGTCTTCCTATTTCGTTTCGAAAGCATACAAAAATATGAGAATAATAAAGTTTGTTTATCCATATATATATATATTTTTTAATTTTTTTTTGAGAAAGTTTATCCATATTTTTAGTTTGTCAGCTTAACTCTTTTTATTCAGGAACACGTGTAAGAAACGATACGTACAAGGAGAAGGAACAGTTTAATGTTATTACATTATCCGATTCTCCAACAGCTGCAGCTTAATCATTGTTCAAATTTGTCGTTTTAATTCAATCTTTTCCGGCTTCACCGACTGATCAGTTTTCTGGGGTTCATTTTGCCGGAATTTTGTGATCACCGCCATCATCAGGAAGATGTCCATCACTAAAGTCTACATAGTGTAAGTGAACAATTAGAACAAAGAGTTATAGCAATCCCAATTGTTATCCCCAAGGTTTAGAAGTGCTGAAAAATGAATTTTTGGTTTTTGATTTTTGCAGATATTATTCAATGTATGGCCATGTTGGGACCATGGCAAGGCAGATTCAGAAAGGGGCTAATTCGGTTGAAGGAGTTGAAGCAACCCTTTGGCAGGTACTTTACTAAAATGCTAATCTTTTTTGGTTAATTATGGATGATGAGGAAGATATTGATTAAGGGTCGGTTTTGAAATTTTGATCAGGTGCCGGAGACTTTGCCGGAACGGATTTTGGAGAAGATGAAGGCTCTCCCAAAATCAGAGGATGTTCCTGAGATTAAGCCAGAGCAGCTTGTTGAAGCTGATGGTTTTTTATTTGGTTCTCCTTCTCGTTTTGGTATGATGGCTGCCCAAGTTAAGGCCTTTTTTGATGATACTCAAGGGATATGGGCAACTCAAGCACTTGCTGGTAAGCCGGCCGGAATTTTCTGGAGCACCGGTTTCCATGGAGGTGGCCAGGAGCTTACTGCGTAAGTTGAATTTCCTCTTTAATGTTGGTCTTTGTTTTTATCCTTAAATATATGATACAGTACCACATTAAGGACAATTCTTGATTTTGTTTCTTGTTTGAGTGATTTTCTTGGAATAATAGTAATGATGTTTCTAATTTTGCACAGATTAACATTTATAACTCAATTGGCGCATCACGGGATGATATTTGTTCCTCTTGGTTATACATTTGGGAAGGGGATGTTTGAGATGAATCAAGTTAAAGGTGGATCTTCCTATGGGTCGGGAACTTATGCTGCAGATGGTTCTCGTCAGCCTACCGAACTAGAGCTCGAGCAAGCATTTTACCATGGAAAGTATGTTGCTGAAATTACAAAGAAGCTCAAGAATCCTTCTCCTGCATCATGATGGATGAGTATTCTATGATAAATGTACCCAAGCTCTGAGAAACTGTAAGTATTGTAATCATATAAGTTGACGTAGTCTTTTTGGCATTGCCTCAAGCAGGTCGGAGTCCTGTATGGGACAAAGTTTGACAAAGATGTATCCTACTAACAAAAGCATTTATCAAAATTAAATGGATTTCTTTGACAAAAGCCCTCGAGATCTCAATATGTAAGATCATTTTCTCTCTTCTTCAAGAATTCAATTTAATTCAATTTGGAGCCAATTTGGTTGTTCTCATGTGCTTTGAGTATTGAGTATGTTGAGTTGGAACAGAGTACCCAAGGTACTTAAGGCTTCGGTGGATTGTCTTAATTTGAGAATATATCCAGCCTCCGAAGCAATTGTTACTCTCAAAGATATATATTAGAATTGTTGTTAATGCAAAATGTAACTTGAAATGTGACAGGATTGCTTCAGGATAAGCAAAGTATGTTTTAAATGTGTCTATCTGTCAAATTTGGAAATGACTTTCCTTGGCTTTTGCTAGTAGCATCTACAGACGTAAAATCATTTGATATATATGATATTTCTTTCTCCCAATGAAACAAAAGCTTATTTTCGGTAAAAAGCATAGAAGGGAGAATTGCACTGCTTTGGAGTAGTTTGAGGCAGAACAGGCTCCATGGACTGGAGTTTCGATCTTTGCTCAGCCCCAGATCATTTAGAGGAGTCATTTGGTTCTCAGTTGCTGATGTTTTGGCTCTATTGTTCGCCTCTGAAAAAGAAATGGTCAGTTTATTGGTGTGTGAGACTGCTTCATTCATAGCATGCATTCAGAATCTGAGGCTCAATGAGAGATTTTTCCTAGGATGTCCAAGCATGGACAAAATGGTTATCTGCTAGCTCAGTATTTGGAGGACAAAGAAACTTTTTAAGTTACACTGGCACTTGTATTGGAGCTTCAGCTGATTCTTGTCCGTTGAAATTGGTAAGCGCTTTGAGAAAAGCATTTAGCTATGTTTTTTGAGAAAAGCAGTTATGTTTTCTGCCTTCCGGAAATGTTTGATACAAAACACCATATGCTTATTGTAGGATGTAACTTTAGGGGCATCTAGAGGATCTTTTTACTGATGCGTCTGTTGGACAATGTGAGGGCCCTGTATGGCCAGTTATGGGAATCCAATTTTTAAGTAGTTATAATCTTAGAGTTCATTTTCAAATTGATATTCTCATATTGCCAGTACAACTTTTATAGACTGCAACCATAATGAGAATGAAAAGAAAACCATTGTCCAAATAGATGTAATTTTCTCAATTTTCTTGTATCAAGAGTATGTTCTTGTCTTTAAGTTTCATAAAGTTTGACTCGTTTTTCTCTGGTTTAGCCGTAGTGAGTTTTAAGCTTCTTTACCTTGAAATGGTGTTCTCCGATGCTATGGGTGTTTGATTACTGATACTTTTGCATTTCTAATCCTACTTGAATCCTGTGATGTTTTATTCTTCAGTATTAATTGCTTAATTGTGTAGCTTTGGTGTTCCATCCTTTGAGACGGAGAACTTAATCTCTCTCCAGTTTTACTGGCCTTTGTGTTAGAACAGTGCTGTTAGATTGCGGATGTATCATTAAGCGTAGTCTTTGAAAGAGGGAGTCCATCTTGTAAACTTTGTTGGACCAACTGAGCAAAATAAGTTGTCAGGGTCCCTCTTTCAGCTGTGAGTTTTGCTAGTTCGGTTTTCGGGTGTTCTTAGAGTATAATTGTTTTATATTGAAAATAACCTTGCAGCTTTCTTCCTTTAGTTTTTTAATCCTGAACTTCTTGTTAAGTGTAGATATTGGTAATATTTGAGGCCATATTATTTGTGACTGGTCGAAGCCGAAGTATGTAGCTTCCTGCAATGAAGCTACTTCCAATCATTAACTATTCAAATGCTCAAATTTTTGTTCCTGAATTTTGGGTGCTTGCTCTTGGGAACATGACACAGGTAAAACCTTACAATCCTCTTGTTCTATTTATATCATTTTTTTTGGGAATTTTTCAAGCTTAAACATGAACACTACTAGGACAGACTGGAAATTTGGTATGTGAGATAGAGTGTCCTCTTCATCATGGTATTTTGAAATTTCTAATGTGTTATTGTCCTTAAAAAAATTTGGTTCTTCACAAAATTGGTCATGCTTCGAATTACAATCTGCATCTTTGAAATCTGCAATGTTGTATGTTCTGTGCTGTGTTTTGGTCTAGCTGCCTGATTACTTTTTCCCAGAGACTAAAGGAGCTCTAGATGGGTGAATGGCAAATGGTCTGGAATAACATTAGCCACGGATTGATATTGGGGACTCTGCTGAATAGAAGGTGGGCACCTACAGTAGAAGACAGAAGAAAATGACAGAGATAACAATCAGTAGCCAGAAATCAGATTTAAGGACTAAGGGAGTACTAACAATCTGATAGAGAATGAGAAAATGAACAGGTTGAAAGTTTGATTCTGATTTGGGGGAAATGCGTGCAAAGGAATAGGGGTAATCAATAACACTATTACTAAAGCACTGCTGTGTATTGACGAGTCATAAATTAACCCTATGCCTATTGGGCCTAGGATTAGGTTACATGGAGATTAAGCCACCACCTAAATCTATTCCGCTAGGGTTTCAAGAAACAGGTAACACCACCTTTATATAAAGAGGTGGTGCCTCTTTCATAAGAGATATCTTCTACATATCTTACACACGATATCTTCTACCCATCTCTCTATTCTCTTTATTCTATTATTGACTTAAGCATCGGAGAGTCTACTCTCGGGAGACACCGAGGCTCTGTCTTACAGGTTCTAGGCTATCCGGCTATCCGCTGCCTCCTAGATCATCATCACCTTCCGTCCTAAGGCACCGTGCAAATCCATGCTTGGTCATGTATTGAGTGCTGGCAACAAAAGTGAGGACATATTTTGAGGGAGGTAGCCTCGCAGTCTTAAACCACCTCTGTGGATCCTCTGTGTCTCTCATGATCTGGCTACCGAATTATGCATGATTCATGATATGGGATTTTCCTAGCTAGCTTGTGTTGATGATGGATGCATTTCTTTTGTATTTGCATTTGTGCAGGGCTACAAACCCACCCCCTTCCTCACTTTCTGTATTGTTTCTTGGGTTTGAGATTATTTCGACATGTCAGTTGAAGGTTGAAATTGCTGCTCTTTTAGGAGTCGCGGACAGAGCAATCACCTAACCAGTGTTTCCCTAGTACTGACAGGTATCATATGGATGACCTCCGGGCAGCTGAAGTTTGCTGCTCCATTCATGCTGTCAACAAAACATGCAAGTCTGGAGAATGTTCTCCTCTCAGCTCAGTTGAGCTGGCGTAGTCCTTCGGGGATCATTTATATGTTTGCTGGGAAGAACTAGGAACTTGTACTAATAATGGCTGTTGTTGGCTACCATTGCCACTGCGTTAGATGAACCCATTGATTCAAGTAGCTAAGCAGCTTGAAGGAATGCAGCCGGCTGAATGATATCAGTTCATCCTTCTTTATTGATGCCTGACAACGTAAATTCGTCCTTGCTGAAGTGCATAACAAAAGTGTGATGGAGATGGTGAAGGACATAGATAGGCCTCCGTGCGCACATGAAGTCTTATTGAGAGCTATTAGGGAGCTTTTAGCCAGAGATTGGGTGGTGATTCTCAGTCACATTCATAGAGAATGTAATTCTGTTGCCGATTACATGACATCGTTGGCGGCGTAAGTGTATTTTGGTGGTTAAACCACGATATTGTAAGGGTAGCATATCCAGTCTCATTTTAATATAGTAGCTTGAAGGGTATATATATATATATATATATATATATATATATATATATATATATATATATATTACTATATAAAAGCAAGAGTCCCAAAAACAAACAGTGCTCTTCGTCATTAGAACAACATCAATAAAGCAATGGCAATTTTGTAATTTAATTGAAAAACATGCCTAAATATTACAAGTTTTTCAAGCCCAGACAAAAACACGTGGTCCTTTTAAGTTTTAATCCCAACTCTTTTCATTCACTTTAGATTTTGAGTTTTACTTAATTTTTTAGGCCTAAATTATGGGGTCTCAAGGGAAAAAGAAAAAAGTTCGGCTAGGTGCTTAACATTTATCAATTTTATTTATAAATAATTAACTTTTGATGAAGATTGATATATAAAAAAAGGTACATGTCATTTTATTCTTATTAGGTATAATTTCATATGGAGTATAATTTACTACTATTATAAAAGGAAGAGGGGGACAACTACAGTATTTTTCGTCGTTGGTACACTCTAAGGGCATTTATATACTTTCAGAAAGATTGTCTGAATTTTTTAATCAAATGGACCATATTATTTGGACATTTGTCATTAATGCAAGAGGGGAGAATTCTTGTTATGGTCGTTGTCCCCTCAAGCCTTTTTTTTTTGTCTTTTTCTTTTTTAATTCAACTTCTAAATTATATAAAAAACTAATATTACATGTGGCATCACAAAGGTTGGAACTTAGACGGATTGGGAGAGATGTATGATGATGGCCATAATATTACCTTCAAAATGCAAACTGGAGTTCACTTGATTGTTTTTATATTTAATTTAAGTGTTATACCAAAATATGTATTGTTTATCATTATCAATTCCAATTGCTACATATGGCCATTGAAGATATTATAGTAAATAATAATATAAAAAATTATAATGTTAAAAAACTTTCGATTAAGCACACAAATTAAGTTTTTTTTTTTTTTTTTGGAAGTACAGATATTGTGTATTGATTTAAGCAATGAATGATATAATTCATCAATTTGTGTATTTTCTTAATGTCTTACCATAAAATCCTTCTTACTTTTCTTCTTAATTTTTGACAGTTTAAAGTTTAAATAATATGAATGTATCTACGATCTTCTACACTAATGCAAAAATGTCTTAACCCTATATTACAATTAAATAATAATCTCTATATAACAGAAAAATAGTCTACTTTTGTACATTATAAAAATATTTTTTTA